GAATTTTTATTTTTCAAAATTTTTTTAATGAAAACAAATATGTACGCTGAGAACGGAAAGACAGAAAAAATGAAATTGAATTTTTTTTTTGATCATTCAAACGAGATTTTTATTCTTCATTTATTCATCCAGCTTAGAACGAAAAAAAAGATTTTGAATTTTGTTTTTTTCTTATGATTATTCGCCATCAGCGTTTGTCGATCGCGACTGAGAGAAAAAAAAATTACCCAAATAAAAAACCAACACTAAATTCTTGTTATATCATTAAATCTTTGTATTGTGAAATGATTTCATCATTAATTTATTGAATAAGTGTAAAGAATCCAAATTGAGATTCTTGTTTCATGAATTTTATGTTTTCGCCTGATGTGTGTGTGGTTTTCAACAAGAAAAAAAAAGAATGTGGAAAGATATTTATTTTTTCTTTGTCAATAAGATTCAAAAGATGATAGTAAAAGAATGTGCAAAAGAGACCAAAAAAAAATCAAGGAATTAAAGTCACAAATCCTTTAGAATGATAAAAAATTTATGCTTAAAACATGGAGAGAGAAAGAAAAAAAACCCGAAATGAAAACGATGAAAGTGATTTCATCATTAACGATAATAATTGTACGGAAAAAAATCATAATCATAATATTTGGGTTTGGAATAGATAGAATTCTTTAAGAAGAACAAGATAAATATTTTATTATTGAATTTATTATATTATCCATTTAATAAATATTTACTTCATTTATGCCATAATTTTTTCCGCCATTATAATCATATGATGATCATACCAATTAGCTATTTTATCATATCAAAAAAATAGTAAACAAAACGAAACAGAAATTTCATTTTTTTCACATTTCAAAAGAAAAATCCGTTGTCATTTTGATCTAAAATCAAAAGTCAAATAGACTATAGATAAGACGATGAATGTTGATGATTGCAGCGAAATCTGTTTACTTGTTTTTGTGTAGATATTGATCTTAAATTGTTTGATGGTTACAGAAACCAGGGTCTGTCATTTTCACAATCAATTTATGTCGAATTTATTTAGTTAGAATCAAATATGATGCAACATATTTTGTTCAATTCTTTATTTTTGTTTCTTCTTTCTTTATATTTGATTCAATTCAATTCAATTCTAATAATGATTGTTTTGCTGAAAAACAGTAATTAAAACTTTGTTTATCTAAGCATCATTTTTTTCTCCGACTGGATTACATGCACAGCAATATTTTTGTTCCATTTGACATTTCAATTTGAAGTATCTTGTAATTCTCAAATGAGGATGATAATGTTTACAATTTTGTTCTTGTCACTATAAAATTGAAAATAATTTTCAAATTAAAAGCGTATTTTTGATCAGATTCGAAAATCAAATGTCTCGATATAATGAACAATTTTTCGATTTTGATTTATTTCTGTGAATCAGTGGATTTTGATTCACAGATTTTTAGTCCGAAAGTTCAATTTTATTAGATTTTTCATTTGTTCGTTATTATTGTCTAATCAATAATTTTTTTGCCAATCTAATCGATTTTTTTGCAACAATCACATCAATTCAATTCTAAAATATTGCCTGTTGATTTCATTAATAATTTTTTTTCTTTGGTTCGTAATTTGTTTTTTAAATTTGTAAAAAACAGTTTGATTACCAATATTGCTTTGTTATAATCATATTTCTCAATCATTCGATTATTATTGCCATTTTTATTCTTTTTCTTTCAAAAAAAAAAAAAAAAAAAATCATTCATGTTCATTGTTAATTTGTATGTTTGTATTCATTAACAATAAATTTGGTTGTCTTTTTTTTACAATATTTGAATAATTTATTTCACTATATCAACATTGAATTAATTCTTTTCTTCTTTTTTTTTCTTTCCAATTTTTTCCCCGTACAAATTTACAATTCAAAAAGATTGCTCAAAATATAAAACTGAAAAAATCAACTAAATTTAATTTTGTGATCCATCAAACAACAACAACAACAACAATGTGAAAAGAGCATCATTTGCAAATGAATAATAACGTAAAGAATAAAATCGAAAATCATCTGTTTGTGGTTGTGAATCCAATCGAAAACCATATATTATACTTTCATATAATATTATTTTGAAAGTAACGAAAAAAATAAAATAAAATGAATAAATTTGAATAAAAAAAAACCCTGGTGGCAGCCATTATAATCATTATTGTGAAATCATGTTTCAATCATCATTATCATTTACATAAAAGCCAAAAAAAAAACATAACTTAGTCGTCAGTATTAAACAACACACACAAACACATACATATTGTGCATAATCATAATAGTTTGATTCTAAATTCGAAATTCGAAAAAACACATATAAACGATAATCGATTTTTTCTGTATAAAAATATCAAGCTTAAAATATGATGAATATTTAATTTAACAAACTAAAGGTAAAATTTATAACATACAGAATATACATTGATGGATAGCAAGATTATTATTGATCATAATAATCATATGTATGTAACCAAATAATTGAAATATTCATAGTTTCAGCCCGATATTATCATCATATCATCATATTTATAAACATAATTAACAATCAACTAACCAATAAAGATTAATAATAATAATAATTAATACGCAGGAAATCTAAAAACACTGTGATCTAATAACAGAACATTTTTTTTTTAAATAAAATAAATCATTCTATTATGTGTTTGTTTACTGCCAACAAATCGTTTCAAATAAATTTTATACAATTCTTAACATCAAACAAACAAACAATCAAATCAACAATAGTGTCAAACAGAATATTCAATCAACATTTTCGCTTGAACATTGTTAACATTGATATCTATTCGAAGATTTTGTTTGACAATCATTACTTTGATATCGATAAATGGAACGACAACAATAACGACAAATGGAATATCAAAAAAACAGTGTTGATGAATTCAATATTAGAATGGAAACAACGAATGACAACTATAGACGTCGATATCAATATCGATATCGATGTCAAATTTTTTTTAATCATTATCGTCAACGAATATGATTATCATCATCATCATCATGACAGTAAAATTTTTGTATCATTTAGCAATGGCCATAATAATAACAAATATGATCATTATCAACAACAATATCAATATGATGATGATGATTCGCTCATAGAAAATATCATCAAAACGAATATTTTCCTTTCAAAATTATGTTTGATTCTGTCTATAATCATAATCATAATTTTCATTACCTATCTGATGATTTGTCATATAATTGTATCATTCATATACAGTTATTATCTTTATTATCATCTTGATAATGATCATTTTTTGTATTGTGATGATGTTGTCGGCAAAGAATTACGTTATTATCGACAAGATAATCAAGAATCGAATGTAAATATTATTATTTACAAATATTATTGTCATCGACAATATATTCGGTTATTGATGCATTATTATCATATATATCGATTGTTGCTATCGATATTTTCATTATCTTTTATAATAAATTGTTTCGTCAAATCGAATAAACGAACAAAATTCTTTTTCACTTGGAATTCGAAATCATTGTCAATTAACGTTATCATCATTATCAAACGTCTTCATCATCATCATTATTATCGATCAATATTGACAAAAATTATTTATCATTATCTATCAATATGTTTATGTGGAAAAAATCATTCAAATTTTTATGTATTTTATCATTATGATTCGACTCGTGATGATGTAAATAATAATAAAAATATCTTCAATTCATATTTACTACAAAATTATTGCAAATTTATTATTGGAACATATGTGGCCATCATTTTATCGGCCGATCATATCTATCAAAGCAGTCAACAACAACAACAACAACAACAGCGATATGACAGCCACGGCCGTTGCCGTTATCGCCAACAAAACCGATTCATAGATTCTTCAATGCCAACATACAACAGATACGCATCAATTTTTTTATATGATTGTGTCGAATCAAATTATACTTGCATTCATTTCAAATATTCAATTTTGTTTTCGTCATCATCATCATCATCGTCATTGTTGATGTTATTACAAATAGAAAATATTCTATTGATAATGTTGATGCAACTACTTTGTAACTGGCAGCATGTCATTTGCAGATCACAAACATCATCATTGTTAATAACCACCGACACCAAGTTGATCAACGTCGATCCAAATAATAAAAGTGATGTTTTTTATTTATTCTACAATAATAATGTTAAAGAATTTTATCATTTCTTGAACATTATTATTATTATCATTACAACTACTGCCATTCTTTTTTTTCTTTTTACTATTATTTTCTTTCCATTATTATTATTATTATCATCATCGTTGTTGTTGTTGTGTTTGTTGTTGTTAATATTCATGTTTCTAATCGACATTAGAATTGCCCAAATCAGATTTGATTTTGTTCATTTTAATAGTGATGATGATTATGATGATGATGATGTGAAAATCATTTTTATTGATGATAATGGACATACTTATATCGGCAAATTGTATTGCTATTCATTGATCAGAACTACAAATTTGATCAACAACAATAACAATGATAATACTAATAATATTTTAACCAGAAAAGAAATGTGTTTATTATGTTATTATAATTTTGTCAATTTTATCAATTATGATGATGATAATAATGAGTTCAATAAATGTTTGAATCAAAAACATAATTTTCATCAAGAATTGAAAAAAATTTCATTACCATCATCATCATCATCATTATGGTCAAAAGGTCAAAATAATAATGATGAGAATCAGAATCAATTGCAAAAACCATTGAGGTTTTATTCTCAACAACAACAACAACAGCAAATAGTATTGCGACCATTAGTGCCAAATTATTTTTCCATCCCAATCATCATCAACATCATCAACATCATTTTCATTATCAATCTAATTTATTCAATTTATTTAAGATTTCAATTTTTATATCAATATCCTAATTATAAAACATCATTATTATTACGAAAATATCGATCAAATAATAAACAAAAATCATCATCAAAATGGACAACAATCTATACCAACAACAATAATAACAATGATTGTATCATTATTATAATGACAATTATGTTGATTATTATTTCTTATCAGATGCCCATGATTCGATGTCAACATGCAAAACAGGTAAGGAATATTTTCAATAACAATAACAACAACAACAACAAAAAATCTTTAAAACATTAAATATAGTTAAATTAATATGAATATTATTCGGATACAAACAGCAAATGACAACAAACCAAGACAAAAAAAACATAAAACAAATGCAATTTATCATTATTAAAATATCATCATTCTATAGATGTGACATTCGGAAAAAAATACATTGACAATAATCTCACAATATTTTCAAACAACCACAAAAAAATCTACTATGTAGAATTTTTTTTGTTGATTTTTGGTTGGTTAAAACCGAATAAACGATAACAAATGAGGAAAAAAAATTGAAAAAAAAGTGAAAAATCGAAATAAATTCAATTTTCAAATGAATTTTTTTTGTTGCTCTTTTTGAAACTTTTGTTTTTCGTTTTTTGTTTTTTTTTTGTCAGTCGTCGATTTTTCATCATTTTGTTTTATTCTATAATGGTAGAAAATGATTATAATCCATGATTCTTATCGATTTATCTTTACTGTTATTTGTAACAGAAAGAAAGAAAGAAAAAAAATAACAGTAAACACAATAGTAAATGACAAACATACAAAAAAAAAATAAGTATAAATAAATGAAAGTTTATGTTTAATTTTTCTTTCCTCTTTCACTGAATTCGGAAATGAAAATTCATCGTTTCTGTGTTGAAGGAAAAAAATGTTAAAAAAGAAGAAAAAAATAGGAATTCATTGAAGAATGAATGAATCAACTCAACTTTTCATTCATCTTAATTTAACTATAAATATCTATATAGAGATTATATTATTAACTTTTAATATCATTGAATATCATTTGTTTTTTTTTCTATAAAATCAAAGATATTAATAAATTTAGATGAATTTGTTATTATTATTGTCGGAAACAAACTTGAATTTTAAAAGTTTTTTTTCCTATTCTCATAAATATTTTTGTTTTTTGGTAGGAACTTGGATTCCGAATAGAATAATGTCTTTTTTTTGTCATCGGAAAATTCTTTCTTTTTTGGAACTAATATCGATTTATTTTTCATTTCAGTAGTTTTTTTCGACGAAAAAAAGTTCAACAAAATTCAGTTTTAGATTCGAAAAAATGAAACAAATTTATCTTTCTTTTGTTATTTTTCCTTTTGATTTTTTTTTTGTACAAAAAAAATGAAAAATAAAGTTTTTGTTTTTTTGATATATGCAATTCTTATGGATGGACAATAACAAACATTTAAACATTTTCAATATAAAAAAAATGATTACATTTGTATCAATTTGTTTCTGACAAACTTTACACATTTTCAACACACATTTCACATTATTATTATTATTATTATGGACTTTATTTGACATTTTTTTTTCCAGTTGAAAATTTATTATATTAAAAATATTGTTTCGAATGTTCCAAGATTATCATCATCATCATCATCATGTCTAGGGAAAAAAAGCGAAAATCATGAAAGAAACGAAATTTGACAAATTTTTTTTTTTCATTCCCCACTTTCTCTTTGACATCATTTTTAACCGGAATTTTTCCAATGTTCAGAAAAAAAACAAAATAATAAAGATGAATCTTTTTGGAGTATGTGGTGCGGATGTTAAACAAAGCAATGACTGAGAAAAAAAAGAAGAATTATTGCACTGAAATTTAAATTCAAATGTCATTTTTCATTGTCATTTTTTCTTCTTGATAATGAAATTTTGTTTATAAAATTTTCGTTGAAAAAAAGCCATGCATAGATGAAAAATGATGACAGAGATTGGAAGAATTATGGCAAATTTTTATTTTTCGTTTGATTCAATGATGATCATCATCTTGATCATCATCATTATCGGTCATTATATAATAAAGTTTGTATCGATTTGACTCCAATCAATTTAAAATTATTCAGTGGAAGTTTTACTTTATTTCTTAATTAATCATGATCATAATCAAAAAATATTATCTTCATCATCATCATCATTACCATCAAATATAATAAATTTTTAAACATGATTAATTTATTCTTTTCTACAAACGAAAAAAATGAAATAAAATATCATATGATAATGATTAATTGATTATCGATAAGATTAATATTGAATGAATGAATTTCTTTTGATCGAGAAAAAAATGAAATGAAACTAAAATCATTTTTGAGTGTCTATTGTCAATATGGAAAGAATTAAAAATTGAATTTTTTTTTTGGTTCAATTTGAAATTTCCCATTCACTAATGCTTTGCAATCCTTTTGTTCATTGTGTGTGTGTGTGTGTTTTTTCCCGAATTTTAATTCATCCGTTATAATGTAGTGAAGAAAGAAAAATGTAAAAAATTCTTTTGAATTTAATGATATGAAATGATGAAATTTAATCACTTTTTATCCATTAAAAAAAAAATTAATTGAATCGATTATAGAAAATTTATTGCCACTCTCAAATACACACACACACGCCAAATTTTTCTCTAAATCAAAGAAGTTGATAATTTTTTTTTCTGGTTTTATCAACGAAAAAAAAATAAATAATTTGTGATTCTGTTTTCAACAAACAAAATACTAATGGATTATAATGGCAATATTTCATAAATCTACTAGAACCTGATATTCTTTCTTTCCTCACACAACCATTCACCACCATTCGTAGGAAAAAAAACCTCATAGGAACAATGAATTATGGAAAACAAAAAAAAATGACAACGAAAAGAATTTTCACTCCATACATTCATATATTCCATATAGACCGATGTTGTTGTTGTTGTTGTTTTTCACTTTATTATTAATGACAAAATTTAATTAATATGACCCCGAAAAGCAACAAAAAAAATGAATAAATAAATTCATATACGGTATAACACATTAACAAACTTCATCCACAAACAGAGCCTTTATCATGATAAAATCCGTTAAAATTTGAAATTTTAACAGAATAGGAATATCAGAACAAAATATCAACACTTAGACTATAAATAAAAAATTAAGAAAAATTCTGAATATTCCTACCTAAATTAGAATTTTTTTTGTTTGTTTTTGTTTTTGGTTTCATTTAATCATAGATACAAGTTTTATTCCAAAAAAAGGACTGTTGCATTTCATTGATGTTTATGGATGAATGTTTGGGTGGTAGTATTCAAAAAACTTTTATCATTATGTTTATATTATAACTCATTTTTTTTCTTCTTTCTACGAATTATTTTTCTTTTTTGGCCGGATGATTATTTTCATCCTGTCATTAGTTAGCCTACTGGGTGTATGCGATATACATTGTGTGTGTGTGTGTGTGTGTGTGTGTGTGTATAATGTGTTTGTACAGATGCAGATGTAGTTGGTTTTCTTTTTTCTCAAGATTTTTCAGAATCATCATTATTACCACAAAAGAATGATAATAGAATTAATTATACGCAAATATAATTTAATTTTGTTCTCTTTATTCTTTTCACACATTTTCTCTGTCAATTATTCAGAACAAAATTTGAATTTCGTAACGACAGTCAATTCTTGTTTGTATTCATTTATCTTTTGGATTTTATGTTTTTACCAATGAAGGAACAAAAAATGACATTATTAACATTGTCAGTTGTTTTTCGGTTGTTATTTCTTTTTTTGTTGGTCTGGATTCTATATTCACCAGTAGTTTTCATGTTTTCATGCATATTGATAGTTGAATTGAAATCATTAATGGAAAATAAATGTTTATAAAGCAAAGGGGTTATATTAAAGTTTTTTTTCTAAATAATTTAAAGTTATTAAACATCATTGATATATTTGCAAACAAAATGATCATTAATTCTTTCAAAAGAATTTTATATACCTAAACTTTTTTCTGTCCATTTCAACAACAGCAAAAAGTTTTTAACATTTAATTTTTTCTTGATATTTTAAATTTTTTTCTCGAAAATTTCAAAATAATTTATATTTTGTTTTTTGTCGAATAAAATCAATTAGGTTGCAACCATACCTGGACAATTGGTGATTGGTGCTTTATTTTCGATTAGAGAACAGCCAACATTAAGAGCAGCACAGACACGTACCTGTGGTGAAGTACGTGAACAATATGGTATACATCGTGTTGAAGCTGCATTTCAGACAATCGATACCATAAATAATGATACAAATATATTACCCAACATTACATTGGGTATTGAAATACGTGATTCATGTTGGTATTCAGCTATAGCATTAGAACAAAGTATTGAATTTATTCGTGATGCAATGGCAGCATCAGAAGAAAAAGCATATGGTTCAACATCACCATCATCATCATTTTTTGGTCCTGGTTCAGTATACAATGTTCATGATGATCATTTATTATCATCAACAACACACATTGATAATAATGATGATAATAATAATAATAATAATAATAATAATAATAATAATAATGATGATGATGATGATTCATCCAGTAAACAACTTCGTATATTAGGCCTATTTCCGGCTTCACCATTTAGTGGTTCTCCACAAAGATTCAATGTTAGTACACCATGCCCGAAAGCAACAAAAAAAGCAAAAAATATTGTTGGCGTTGTTGGACCTGCTTCATCAACAAATACAATACAGGTAATAATAATATTAATATTGAAAGGAAATAATAAATTTATAATTTATTTATTTTTGATATAAAAAATCAAAAACAAATCATTTTCACTGACTTTCATTTTATCTTTCTAAATTTTTTTTATCCTGATCAAATTATAATATAAATAGGTTCAAAATTTATTACAATTATTCAATATACCTCAAATCGGTTATTCTGCTACCAGTAAAGAGCTAAGTGGAAAGAATTTTTTTAAATTTTTTCTTCGTGTTGTACCATCGGATCATCATCAAGCACAAGTGGTTAGCTCATTATTTCGATACTATAATTGGACATATATTTCCGTTGTCTATACAGATGGTATGTTTTTACATTTATTAGTTCATATTGACTTGAGGAGATGATTTTATTTATCCATTTTTTTTTCGAATAATAAAATCTCTATTTTAGGGAGCTATGGATCCGGTTTGATGGAAATATTCAAAACAAATGCTCAAGATGTTGGCATATGTATTGCCTATATGGAATCAATACCACCAAATGGTGATGATGAAGTATACGATGCTGTCGTACAAAGTTTATTGGAGTTTAAAAATGCTCGAGTTGTTGCCTGTTTTTGTGAAGGATCATCAGTACGAGCATTACTTCAGGCTAAACGACGTTTAAATGTTACAACAGAATTTATGCTTGTTGGTAGTGATGGCTGGTCGGATCGTCCTGATGTTGTTAAAGGTTTTGAAAAAGAAGCTCAAGGCAGTCTCACAGTTCGTATCTATTCACCAATTGTCGAAGAATTTGATGATTATTATTTCAAATTAAATCCATTGTCTAATCATCGAAATCCTTGGTTCAGAGAATTTTGGGAGGCAAAATTTAATTGTAGCCTTCGAAATTTAACTGGTCAAGTGATAGTCCATCCAAATAATGTTACATTCACTAAACAATGTACAGGAGATGAATCTTTACAGGATTTTGTCGTACGAAGAAAACCTCGATATAAACAGGATAATAAAATGTCATTCGTTGTGAAAGCTATTTGGACAATGGCATATGGATTACATAATATGCAAAAAACTTTATGTAAAAATGTTACTGGTCTTTGTAATGAAATGTTACCTATTAATGGATCAGTATTATTATGGAATCTTAATAATGCAAGATTCAGATGGAAAGATGAAATTGTTGAATTCGATGAGAATGGTGATCCACCAGGACGGTATGTAATTTGTCATAGATTATTAAAAAATTTTCTGTTAGATTTAAATTCATTAAATTAATCATCAATTTTTTATTTTGTTTGCTAAATGAATAATTTAGTTATGATATAATGAATTATCAGGAGCTAAAAAAAGGAGAATATGATTATGTACAAGTTGGTGAATGGAATAGTGATTCAAATCTAAGTATTTATCGTCCAATACAATGGCCACGTGAACGTGAAATGGTCATACAATCAAATTATACCGAAATAAAAGTACTCAATAAACATTCATCAATACCGGAATCTGTTTGCTCAAAACCATGTCCAAAAGGACAAGCAAAGGTATTTATCCTTTTTTTTGCCTACTTAGTCATTTACAAATTCAAACCAAATAAATATCAGCAAACTTTTTCCGATTCTATTACCAAGCAACAAACAAAAAAACATGTCGATAATAAATAAATCGTCGATAAACAGAATGCATTATTTTTGTTTTTGTTTCCCAGTTACTTATGAAGATGAATAGTCATAATCAATACCGTATGGAGCTATTTATTTGTTTTTCTTCCATAATTTTTTTTTGTTTTCCGATTCCATCGAGTTTTATATATGATATTTTTGTTATTATCATTAGAAAAACAGCTGTAAAAAAATGATGCCATCATCATTACCAAAAAACAACACCAAAATAATAATAATGATAATGACAGTAAAAATAATGACAAGACACACCAATTCGAATTAGTTTTATTCTATATGGACAATTTTAATATAACTTATAATTTATGTGATAATTAATTTCTTTTTTCTATTTATGGTGATAATATCATTGTTTGAAATTCGATGAAAAAAAAATAACAACCATATCATAAATAAATGTATAAATATAGAATATTCAATCCGATTCTGTCAAATGTTGTTGGATTTGTGTGCCTTGTCGTGAAAATGAATATTTAACAAGTGAAGAAAAATGTAAACCATGCAAAATTGGCACATGGCCCAATGAAAATTTGACAGGTATGTGTGTTATTTATTTTTTTTAATCTCACAGGGTTATCATTAATAATCCACACACCTGTTGAATTGATTATCATTATAATGTTTTGAATTTGTAATAAAGGTTGTACACCGATACCAATTGAATTTATACGTTGGACTGATACTTGGTCATTGGTGGCCATGACTATTTCATTGATCGGCTTTATTATTACATTATTTACAATGATCGTTTTTATCAAACATAATGATACACCAATGGTTAAGGCATCTACACGTGAATTATCTTATATTATTATGTTTGGAATGTTTCTTTGCCATTCGACAACGTTTGCATTGATAGCTAAACCAACAAAATTAACCTGCTATATTACACGTATATTACCCGGTTTAAGTTTTGCAATAATGTATGGTTCATTGGTAACTAAAACAAATCGTATTGCTCGTATTTTGGCTGGTTCAAAAAAACGAATTATAACAAAAAAACCACGTTTTATGTCGGCAACAGCTCAAGTAGTAATCACTTGGCTTTTAGTTTCCGTTGAAGTGGGCATCATAATTACCATTTTGATTCGTGAACCAGCAGATAAAATGCTCAAATATCCTACATTAGATCGTGTGGTGCTTACTTGTAACACTAAAGTATTGGGTAAGTTTTTCAATTTTTTATTTTATTTTTATTTTAATCTCATTGATTCTGTCGATAATATTTTGAATTTAATCTGAAATTGTTAACAACATTATAATTTAATAAAATTTGGTAAAGATCATTTGCCTCGAAAAATTTGAAATGGACGTCTGAGCAAATGAGCCAAATTATTTGTATGAAACATATCTTTTATATATTTTTGATTAAATTTTGTAAAAAAATCCTGATCATTTTTTACATGTGATATGAATTCTGTAGGTACGAATGTTGTTGATCTTCGTCGCCGAAATCGACATAATTGATTAGCATATATTGATGCTGTTGTCGTTGTTGATTTTGCATCTTCATCATCAGATTCTGCAATTGATTCGGTCCGATAATCAAAATCAGTATTTGTCGTAATTTTTGACGATTTTTCATCCAAATATTCCTGGAATCCATATTCTTCAAGAAATTTTTCCAATTTTTCACCAATTTTTTTGTTTGGAATATGAATATTCAGAAGATCTTGTTCCTTTTTATCGGTTGGTTTTATATTCAAGCTTAATACATAATTATTACCATTTGTGCTCAACATTAAAGCTGCTGTTTGACAAGTAGCTTAATAAAAAAAAACAATGTTTAGTTAGATATTTTTAATGAATTTTAACAACATTATAAAATTATTATTACCATTACCATTCGAATTGGATGTTACTTCACAAGATTGTATTTGCGTATTTTCAATGGATTTAGCGGGCATTTCAACAATTTGTATCGATTCTATTGAATGTTGTTGTAGATTAGGTGTTATTTTGATACTAATATTTGATGGTCGACGAATAACTTTGTTTTTTTTCGGACTTTCATCATTATTTTCCGTTGTCCTTTCATTTTCATTGATTATGATTGCCATTGTACCATCATCAAATATTTGTAAATCAGTATCATATGAAAAGTTATTGTCGTCGTATTCATAATAATTATAATAGTGATCGTTTTGTTCATTATCACTAATATCATATCTATAATCTTTGTTTTCAATATCATCATAAATATAAATCGCTTTTTGATCATAATTTGTAATACTGTGAATTTCCGAATAACTTGTATAAAGATAAGATGATTTAATATATTTTGCTATATGTTTGAACCATTCTTCATCTGATATTGATTCTTCCGATTTTTCATTGAAATCAATCGATTTAGATTCTATATATGCAAAAAAAAACCAATATTATCATTAAAAATTTTAAGATTAAAACAATAGAAATTAAAAAAAAATAGAATCAAATAAACAAAATTTAATTACCGGATTCATCATTTTGATCATAATCAATTCGAATTCGTTTTGAATTTTGATCATTTTCATCCAAAAATTTATCAATTTTTTTATTATTATTTCTTTTCATATTTGATTGATTTTGAATAGTTTTACTATTTTTTTCGATATTCGATAAATCAAAACAGATGAAATCAAAATTTCAACTTCTATTTATTCTTTTTTTTCTTACTTAAAAGTAAAAAGTAAAAAAGAAAATGACATTGCACTTTTGATATATCACATGGCAGTGAGTAACGTTCATCGTTAGCTCATTGATATTCAGTAGCGTTCATAGATAACGATATGAATGAATGAATGAATGAATGAAAAAAAAACGAAAATACAAAAAGTTAAAAAGTTAAGCAAGTTTGAATAAAAGATTTTTTTTCAAGATAGAAATTAGCTTTTTGTTTTGTTTTGTATATTCACCATTGAAATGAATTTTGATTCTAATTTTTCTCAATTTGATAGAATTTTTTTTTCTTCTTTTCACTCGCTGCTACTTATTATTCTTTTTTTTCTTTCGATTTGATCATCATCTACTTGAATTTTTTTTTTAGTCAATTTCATTGATTGAATAACGTAGTATAAAGAATGCAATAAACAAATATAGCGGATGAAAAGAATGAAAAAAAATATTAAGATAAATTATACGTAAGTGAACAAGATGGATAGTTTTATGTGTAAAAGTTGTTTCTATCTCTTTTTTTTCATTTCATTTTTTTACAAATGCACAAATAGATAATAGTAAAATATATTTTATTTGGATTCGATCTTCAGAACCGATTATTTCGATTCAAAAAAAAAAACGCTCACCGTGTTGATACATAGACATCAACGACATAAAAGTATGTTGAGAAAAAGAAGAGGAAAAATGGGAATAAGAAAATATTTCTTGTTGGAAAATTCAAAAAAGCAAAGATTCTTGACTAAAATGTTTGTAAAACGAAGTAAATGGCATTTTTCTTCCTTATTCTATCGTTTTCTTCTATTCCAACTTTTATTAACAAATGATAACGTTTTTTTCTTTGAGTTATATTTGTTCTCTTCTTTTCTGTTTTATTCGTTCTTTTCCAGTTGTTTTTTTCTCTAAAAGTAAAAAAAAAAAACTTGCATCATTTTATTTGATTTTTTTATCCATTTTTTTCATCTTTTACCGAATCATTTTGGCCGTATTTTTTTTCTCTCTCTCTCTCTCTCTCTAGCAGTCATTCATCGTTCACCAATCAATATATCTTTTCATAATAAAATCTTCCGTTATCTTATTATATACGGTTATTATTATAATTCACACTTAGTTCTCACAAAATTGATGCTTTCATTCCATAAAGAGTGTATTCCTTTTTGCTTTTTTTTTCATATTTATCCAGTTTGTCGAATATTTTTTTTGTCTGAAATCAAATTTTCATCCCAGTCAATCATTTGCTAGGCAATGATGCCTGACAAATTCTTAAAAGTTTTTTTTTTCTTTTACTATTCATTTTCTTCTAATTCTTTCCAATTCATTCTGTTCTGTACAATACAAATCATATTCTTGTCTTTCAACAAAGCCATACAACACAGTTTATGATCGATAAAAAAAGAAAAGAAAAGATTAACATTGTTACAAGTATGTCTATTTTGTTGTTTTTTTTTGTTGTTGTTGTTGATCGAATTCACTACTCATCATAATCATCATCAACATTATTGACAAATATTATGAAGAAAAAAAAACAACAGAAAAAAAGGTTGTATGAAAAAAAAGAAAGTGAAAGCAAAAGTGAATGATGGAAATACCAAAAAAAAACGGAAACTCTTGTGATTCAATATTTGTATTATTGTTGATTTTTGTTTATATTCCTTTTTTTTTGTTAGTTTTGTTTGGCGCGCCATGTAAATTGTTGTATCTTCAATTCATTTCCTTTATGCATTTTTATTTATTTATCAAATACCCGGAATTCAACAACAACAATAAAAAAAATAGTTGTATGTGTGAATAATGTGTGTGTGTGTAATACGAACTGATGAATGGATGAATGAATGAACAGAAACTAAAATCCAATCAATATTTTGTTATTTATTTGCTGTGAGTAGATTATATTCTATGTTGGTTTTACGTGTGTTTTTTTTCTGTATGAGTATTTCTATAGATGAATAAATATTGACTGTAAATGGTAAAAGAATAAGAATTGAGAAAACAACGAAACAGCCAAAATTTTGATCTGAATCCTAAAACTAAAATGAAAACCATTCACCCACAACAACAACAAACAAACAACTATAATGGTTATCTATTTTTTTGTTTCTTATTTAATAATATTCATACAAAAAAAATATAAATGTCATCATCATCATCATAAATATAATTTTTCTTTTCTTTTCTTTTCTTTTTTTTTTTGGTTAAGATTCTGAAGATAGGTATTATCATTATTATACAATAACAAAATTGATGATGAGATGTTTATAATTCAGTCTGAATTTTTGTTTTGATATTCATATCACATATGAATGAATGAATGAATGGATATGATAGTTTGTTGTTGTTCTTGGTTTTTCATATTGATGCTTTTTATATTTATTTGGATAAAAAAATGTTGTTTTTTCCCCAAATGATTCATCAATATTTTCATCAATAATAATAATCTTATTCGAATGCATATGGGGTTTTTTCTTTCTCTCAAAAGTGATGGGCGAAAAAAATTTGTACCACATTAGCTTTTTTCTTCGGCAATTTCTATCATTATATATTAAGGTTGTCCCGAAAGAACTTTTTATTCGGTTTTTCACCAAAAATATTTCCAAACAATTTTCGATTGAATTTAAGTTTGTGATTTTCTTTCTTCCATTCGTTTTGTTTCAATCTACTCCAATTAAGTTTTCTAGTTATTCAATACAAATATTTCAATCAAACAAAATAGAAAAATATTTCTAATATAATTGTAATAATTAAATTATTAATTTAACTTATAAATTTGATTAGTTATTTTTATTTTTCTCATATTATTAATCTTTATTGATCAAATTGAAAAGAATGATTTGAAAAAAAATGATAATGTAAATATTGTCGAATTCAGTAATTTTCTTTTTTTTTCTACTATTTCAAACATTCATTCATTCATTCATTCATTTTATTGAATTTATCGATAGTTTCAAAGATATGTTATGTTTTGTATGTTCAGTCATAATTCAATATCTTTGTATAAACATTGTATTTATATATTACAAATACAAACAAACAGAAAAAATTTATCGATAAGAATATTTTTCAAATTTTTTTTTTTTTTTTTGGCTGTCCAGAATTTTCGGTTCGGTTTGTTTTATAGGAAACAAAAATAAATTCATTCAAAGAAAAAAAAAAGAAATAAACTTAATATGAAAAAGCCAAAAATAACATCATCAGTAACTGAGGGAAAAAATGAATTCACTTTATTTTTATTTTCACCCATCACACACACATTTATTATATAAAATATATGTCGGGTTATATAAGAAACATTGTACAATCAATCGATCAATGGTCAAAATCTTTGAAATATTTAATGTGTGTGTGCATTTGTATCGATTCAATGTTTGTTCTATTATTACTTTTTGATCTTTAGAATCACTTTTTCGTTTTTTTGCCGTTATTTATTCATTTATTTATTTTTTTTCTATAGAATTGTAACTTTATAAGTATCTATTTTATTATTATTTCAAACAAACGAACAAACTCGTATTTCAGCATACATTTTCAATGTGTTTTTTTTCAAAAAAAAAATTTGTATTTTATCAACATTCATTCATTTTTTCGTCTGTTTATTTTGATTCGAATTTTGATTTTTGTTGTTTTTTTTTCTTTTTCCTTTTATACGTTTTTTTAACGATTCATTCATTTTGAAACACTCCGTATTTGATTGGATTGTTTAGATAGAAAAAAATTGTTGTTGTTGTTGTTGTTGTTCATTCCATTTCATTCGTTTTTTTTCACTTGATCACTCGCACACACCACATCACACACAATTGTTATTGAAAGTGATGATAATGTTTCGATGTTGATGACGGTAGTTTTGGGATATATATGGGAATCTATACCACACACTTACACACAATCAATGCCATTAAATTTAATCGTTTTTTATTTAACGCTTTACTTGAAAATAAGAAATTTTGATACTTTTCTCCTCGTTTTTTTTTTATTTTGGATTTTTTTCAAATTAACGAAATCATTATTATTTTCTTTGGCCAATCAATTTTTTTTCTGCTGTATGGCTCAACGATTACGAGCGAAAGAATGAAATTTAGAAATCGAATCAATAAAAAAAATAGATTGTGGGAATGAGGAATTTTTTTTGTTTTGTTTTGTTTGACGATAATGTTGTTATCGTGATGATATTGATATTGATACTTGACAATGATAATGATATACAATTCTGGTTAATATATAAATGGTTTCAAAATGATGACAACAAAAAAAAAATTCTAGACGCCAAGAACAAAAACCTGCATAACCATAAGATACAATGATCAATGATTTAGCCTTTGGGCAAAATTGTCACAAAACAAATTTTACTATTCATTTCATTGTTTTATTTTATTTTTTTCCGTTTTGTTTTTTCTTCCAAAAAAACTTATGATGATCGTACTATTATTTTATAAATTCATTTAAGATTCTTTTTTTCCTATTGTTTTAACGAAAATGTGAATAGAATATTTGATTTTAAGTAAATGAAAAGAAAAGCTCAATACAGCTTGAAGCTAGACATTACCAATGGCCATTAGTTAATATTTTCAAAAAAAAAGAGGGGAAAAGGAATGGAAATTATTATTTTTTCTTTCCAAACGATTCATGAATTCTTATTAGATTAAAGTAAAAAAAAAATATTTGAAAAAGTTCATCGTTTAAACTTTGAAATGAATCAATGTGATACAGAATTTGAGTTCGAATTTGAAGCAAAAAAAACCAAAAACAAAAACAATCAATAATTGTGTTTATACATAGGAATTTTGTTTTCCGAATTTTCAATTGGCCATATGGTTTTTATTTATTATTAACCCTTTGTGTACGGAAAATTTTTCAATTTATATTGCTGTGAAAAACAACATATGATGAGAATCGAGAATCGTATGCTCGAATGCAATAAGGGTTAATCGTATCATTGTTATTATCATTATTTCAAGTATTCGGTGAATAAATTTAATTAGATTATATGTGTTTATTTGTTTGTTTTTGGGTGAAACACACAAACATGATGAATTTTCAGTATGATTCAGTTTATTCAATGAGAATTTTTATTAAATTTTACTTGTTTTTCTTTTGCTTCTTTTATTTCTATATTTCATTTAATACATCATCATTTTATTGTCATATTTTTTTCCCCTTTCTCTTATCAATATAGGAATTTCGGCACCACTTGGTTTTGATTTTGTTCTTATTGGTTTTTGTACACTATATGCCATTAAAACACGTAACGTGCCCGAAAATTTTAATGAAGCAAAATTCATTGGCTTTACTATGTATACAACATTGGTCATTTGGATTGCATTCGTACCAATTTATTATAATTCGGATGAAAATGTTATCACATTGAGCTTGTGTATTAGTTTTTCTGCTATTGTTGCATTAATATTATTATTCTTTCCTAAACTATATATCATATTATTTAAACCGGAAAAAAATAATCGTAGCTATTTTACGACAGCTAAAAATGTTCGCTGTCATATTGGTTATATGCAAGCTGCAACATCATCAACAACATCGGCTGTACAATCTCATGCACCAACATATGCTGGTGTGTCAAGACATTCTTCACATTCTACATCCGATTTTAGTCTTGAATCTCCAAGGTAAATATCCTTTATTTGTTTTTGGATAATTTATTTTAGAAGAAATCAAAAATTTTAACTTTAAAATATTTATAGAAATCATTCAATTGATGTTTGTTATAGAAAACCTGGATCAGAAATTTCTACTGTTCATAATCAATCTTATACAACACCATCATATTCAGGCACACATTTAAACCATACAAAACAACCAGCACGACGTAATGGTCAAATACGGAAAGGATTTTTTTCACGTTTACGTATTAGTAAACAGGATAAGATTGCTGCTAATGTAGCTGAACATATACGTGCTGTACGTGCGGCTGAAGCATTGGATCGTCAAACAGCACGTGGACGTCGTTTTCATGGTAAATTATTTTGTTTTTGTTTTTTTTGTAATAAATTTTTAAAATTCATATAAAAATTTGAAAATTGAATTTTTTTCTCTCATATAATCAATTTTATTCAGGAGCTACAAGCCAAAGTTTTTCGGAAAAACATGAAGAAACAACAACATCTATGATTGGTAATGAACCAATATCCATACGACAAGAAGATACGGTTGGAATATTATCACGTCAGGATACGGCTACACGAAGAATACGAATTATTCATCTTTTACGGCGAACATTTGGTGAAGATCTAGAAAAATTACCGCAATTTAGTGCATTGGTCAATTGTCTTAAATATGAATGTTCACATACATTTACTGAATGTGCTGTTCAAACGGGCAATGGTGGAAATGGTATTAACGGTGTGGATACATTACGTCGAAGATTAACATCAATGCCTATTGATGATGAAAATGGATTTTCAAGTAAGTAATTTATTTATTCATTACCATATTATAATAATTTGATTTTAAATCAAAACAAATCAAATTTAATATGAAAAAAAATAAACAATTTATCATCGAACAGAAAATCGATATCAACAACCATCATCTTCATCATCATCACAATTACAACAAAAAGCTGCTAAAACAATGTCATCCGATGAAAGTATGTCGGTAACCGGTTCAGTTGTTGTTGAAGAAAATATTAGTTCCGGTGGTGAAGATTCAAGTCAAACATCAGGTGTTTATAAAAATATTATTATCAATTTAAGTAATTTAACAAGTTTATCAGCCGATCCACAACAAACAAGTTCATCAAGAGATTTATTTTATTATCATCAACAACAACAACAACAACAGCAACAACAATTTGATCAATCATTATCAACACCACATTCAACTGATCATCATTATCGTCCACATAATAATGATAATTTACATCAGCATTATCATCATCATCATCAGCAGCAGCAGCAGTTACATCAATTTGAAATGCAAAATGATCAATTATTTTCGGAAATACGATCATCATCTAAATCAGAACAACAATTACAAAACAATAACAATAATAATAATAATAATAATGAATTGATTGGTATATTGAAAAAAAATCGTTAATAAAAATAGAAATTCTTTTTGGTCAATAATAAGATTTTATTATTACACTATTTTCAAATTTATTTATTTATTTTAAAAAAAATCATTCACTAATACAAAACTAGTCTTTAAATGAATTGTTTGTTTACATTTACATTTACATTTACATTTTTTTTTCTTATTGATCTGTAACACATTCATTTTTAAATTCATCAATATTTGCAATTTGGTTTTTTTTTTGTTTTTTTTTTGTTTCTCATTCACTTTTGTTTGTCCTGTTTTATTGAATCTGTTATTATTATTATTATTATTTTATTTTCAATTTAATTTTAATTAATTAATTAAGTTTTTTTTGTTGTTGTTTTGTTTTAAAAATATATTCAAAAATTTTTTATCAAATATTCAATTCTTATCAATCAATCTATCTATATTATAAAATCATGTTTTTGCTCTCTTCAATTTTCTTTCGCTATTTATTACAATTATTATTATTATTATATTCTCTTTTTCTCAATTTGATATGATTGAATTTTTATTGCAATTTTTATTATTATTACAATTATTTCATGCAAGGGAGAAAAAAAAAGAAAATTCAAATTAAAGCAATAAAGAATTTTTCTTTTCGATTATCGGTGTTATTTTTTTTTTTGCGCGCATAAATAAAATCGTTTCGAATATTTTGCCTTTTATTTTTGACAGTGCTACCATCTGTTGTCATTTTGATTTTTGAACAATCCAAAAATTACAGTTTTTTTTGTTTGTTTCAAGATTCAAATAATATTTTCATCACCAATAAGATACGTAATTGAAATTTGGTTTTTTTATTCGCATCAAATGACTGATGAAAGCAATATTGGTTTTGGATGATGATATCATTATAACAATGACAAGCAGATAAATTTTACATCGTATACATGAATTTGATAGAAAAAAATGTCATCCAGCATTTAATCAATCGAACAATCAACTTTTGGATGACGAATTATTTTCATAATTCATTTAAAAATCTTCTTGTTTCATGACAAAGAAAAAAACATGTTAAATTAGATAAAACAATTACTTAATAATGACTTGATGATGATGATGGAGACCTATCAATCATTACTTTTTTTTTCCAATACCATCAACAACGATTTGTGGTGAACGGAATGGAATAATCAATCAATCCATTAATTTCAATGAATTGATTGATTGATGACAAGAGCAAAAAAACAAACAAACAAACAAACCAAAAACCTGTCATCAATGACATGAAAATTTCAATTGAATTTTTCATGTAAAACTTTACTTCATCATTTTCTGTATTTGGTATTAATACATAAGATATTTTTCCATTGAAAATTGATTGCATCAAAAGAAAAAAAAGAGAAAAAAAAACATTGTTGAAATAAAGAAATCAGTAAAAAAAAGTAAAAGTGAGATAACGAAAATGATCAACAACAACAACAACGACAACCAACTATCAAAACCAAAAATAATGATGAGATGATTTGACAAAATATTATCAGCTATTATCCAATTTCTTATTATCATCAGTTCAATGCAAAAAAAATAAATAAATAAAATGATAATAATGATGATGAAGAAGAGGATTGTTTAAAACTAGTAAATGAATTTGTTTTGAATACTGATTGATTGAATGAATGAATGAATGAACGGATGGATGGATGGATGGATGAAAATGTATACAACAAAAACAACAACAACAACAACAAGACACGAGATCATTCACTTATTTTTTATTTTTTTTTATCGATTGCACATCATAAATGATTTTGATAATCAACATTTTCATTTTGTATTATTTGCGGATAATATTACATCGTATTAATATACACACATCACAATTTTTTTTCTTTTGACTGATAAGAAGAGAAAATGTTTTTTTCGAAAATAATGAACGTAATGAATCGGGATATCATTTTTTTTATGGATTTTCAATGCGAAAGAAAATAAAAAAAAAATTATCAATAATTTTCATTATTTTCATTATATATACAATGTGAATGAAAACAATTGATAATTTAATTTTAAAAAATTCAAGGCTTTTTTTTCATTCATAAGGATTCTTTGAATTGATTGATTGATTGATTGATTGATTGTCATTTTAAAAAATATTTTTCCCCAATTATTATCAATGAATACATCTAAATCGATATATTTTTTTCCAAAAGAAAAGAGATAATCACAAATTTTAATAATTATTCCATTTAATTCTGACCTTTTGGACCTAGACAAAATATTTATTGGTTATTTTTGTTGTTGATGATGTTTGTTCTGTTTCTTTTTTTTTCAATATTATATTTCTTAGAATGTTTTTTAAGTAAAATTGTTGCTAGCAATCAAATTTGTTTAAGGTCGAATAGCGTATCTTTATTATGAGTGAGTCAGTCAATGAAAGTATAAAGAGATCATCAAATTGTTACACATTAAAATTAGTCTGGAAAAAAAACTGTTGATAATAATAGAAACGATATAGTTTATATGATTATATGATTAAATATATCTAAAATTGATGATAATAATAATAGTTTTCATCCAGTATATTGAGTTATTAAAGAAAAGAAAAGTTGTAGTAATGTTTTTTATATACCATTCAACCAAAATAAATTGATGAGAAACAAAATGAAATTGTTAAAAAAAAAGATCATAATTTAAGAATTTTATTTCATTTCTTGTTTTGAACATGAGAAAAAATTTGTCAAAAAAAATAAATCTTAAATATTTTTATATTAAGCATGATTTTTCTTTTAGCATTGATTTGATTTGATTTGATTTAAACAAAAAACAAAGATAATTTTCCAATCAAAATAATCAAGGGAAAAAAAACATCATACATTTATGTGTGTGTATTTACACACATACACATGAAACATATCGTAAGTGAAACAAAAAGCCGGTGGCCGTTATTATTATACATTAATTTTTTGTTTTCGTTATTTTTTTTTTCGGTTAGATGGATCATCATCATCATCATCAACAACATTGAAATACATCGTCATCATCATCATCATAATCGTTGTCAATCATCATGCTGCCAAACACTTGTTGATATTGTGATATGATTTACTAATCATTCTATCTGATGATTGTATATGTTTTTCGTTTTTGTGTGTGTGTGTGTTTATAACAACAACAAGTATAGTTTTGGATTTCAGTAACCAACAACAAAAAACAATGATGAATAGTTATTTTTTTTTTTCTTTCTGTTGTCTATATATATATTAAACATGAACAAATCAAGTGACAAAAATATTTGGACATTTATTGATGATGGATATTTGTTGAATGAATCATACTAAATATTTTTATTTTTGAAAATTTTTATCATCATCATCATCATCATCAAATATTTGGATCATTCATCTACATTAATAACGTGTATGTTTCTTTTGTTTCTTCTTTGCTTTTTTCTCTTTTCTCTATATTGTAATTTAATAAAGAGAACAAACAAACAAACAAAACAGAACAGAACAGAAATGATAACCGGATCCATCATTCATGTCACCATAATCAACATCATCATCACCGATAATTAAAGAAAAACTTCTTGTACTACAATATTATCAACCAATTATATTTCTATTACAACTATTACAATCTTTTCTACTACTACTACTACTACTAAATATAATCAAATCTTGAAAACCATAAACTTTGCCGGTTAATTATTGGTTATTTTCAAAAATAAAAATAAAAAATATCATCATTATATACTACATTCATTGTAATTACTGATTTTCATCATCAAATACAACAACAACAACAACGACAAAATATGAAAATATCGAATTTGTTTCTATAATAATAACTTTTTAATGATTTTCTTCAAAACTTACAAGTACATAGTTTTCGAATTTGTGTTTTTTTTTCTATCCATGAGATCATGAGAGAGATTGTCATCAACCAATTGATTGTATCCTAAAAGAATCTCATGTCAATGTTGGTGATGATGATGATGATGGTTGTTGTGGTTTCAATCAAACAACCATTTCTCTTTCTCTCTCTCTCTCTCATTCTTTGCTTTGGTTTTCTTCGTCGATTTGTCATGTTATTTTTTGTTTTGTTTTTGTTTCTGGTCATTATTTTTTTTTCAATGATCTTATTTTGACATCAATCGGAAATGACATTTTTTATTTATGTTTTTTTTCGATGAAAAAAATGTGTGTATATTTACTAAAATAAATAAGTAAACCAAATAACTTTGATTTTGATCAGTACGACATTTTATCAACAAATATTTTTCTTGTTTTCTTTATTTTGTTTTTGTTTTTGTTTTTGTTTTCTGGTTGAATTTGTGATTATCATTACTTTAATTTTGAAATCCGTGATTCAACATTAGAGATGAAAAACGCACATGGTATGCAGAGAGAAAGTGTTTTTTTTTGTTTTGCTTTTTCCTCTCACATTCGTTTAAATAATATGTTTATTCAATCAAGTTTGATTTAACTTTCAGTTTTTTTTTGACTTTGGTGTTTTTGTTCAGTTGTCATCAATATCCATTATTATGTGCGAAAAAAACTTTTGGATTTTTTTTAGCAGAAAATAATAATAAGATCAAGCCGGTTATCATCGAATCAAGAATCAATCATTTATATTATATACTAACCAAATGAATCCAACAAAATAAATGAAACATTAATTTTATTTACAAATGTCAATGTTGTTTGCAATCATTTTGAATATTTGATGTTTTGACATTTTACACATTTTTTTATTTTCATTAATGAATTTCATCATCATGTTTTATCATCATCATCATCAACATCATCATCATGGTGGTACTGATGTCACAAAATTCATTCATCATAAAGATCAAATCGTTTATCGTTGTTGTTGTTGTTGTTGTTTTTTGGATTTTCATTTCGAAAAATTATTAAATGAACAATATTATTGATAGTTTAATGATTTTTTTTTTGGGTTTTTCTGTTGATCTAGTTGTGTGTGTGTGTGTGTGTGGCCATTAATATGGCCTTTGGCCATTCTGATTCATATCTTAAGTTGTCAACAACGAAAAAAAATGTCATCCTAAATAATGTGTGAAAAATGTTGATTTTTATATATATTAAAAAGAAAATGAAATGAAAAAATCAAACAACAAGATTTACTAGATGACTTCCAGACATTGAAATTAAAAAAAAAGAAAACAAAAACAAATTGTATTTTGTATCATCAAGTGATGATGATGATGATGATCGACGATGGATCAGTGAGTTGTTATATATTTTTTTTCTGATTCATTCATTTTACATTTGAATATTATTATTTTTTTTCGGTGTTTGGCAATCCCTCGTCACGAATATAATCAATTTTACATTAATAGTTTTTGTTGTTGTTGTTGATGATGATGTGATTCATTCTTTGATCAATTCAAAAGAACAAACCAAAAAAAATGATCGTCTGATTCAATATAAAAATAGAGTTTGATTTTCAAAAAAAAATTGTTTCCATTTAGTTATTTCATAATTTATTTTCAATTTCGATTCTTCTTTGTTTATTATCATTATTTTGTTTGTTTGTGTGTGTGTATGCAATTGTGTAATACAAAATTCTAATTGATATTTATTTTTCTAAATTTCATTTTTACGGCAATACAGGAAGAAAATTAAATTTTTTTTCTTATTTTTTTTCTGGAAGATTTTTTGTTTGTTTGTTTGTTTGTTAATTTAAAAAATTGTCATTTTAACGAAACAAATTTTTGGTGAAATCACATAAATCTACAACAACAACAACAACAGAAAAAAAAGGTAAGCTCTAATCAATCAATTAGATTGCAATAATAATTATCAATTTTAAGTCCAATGACCAAGAAAATAAAAAAAAACAAAACAAATTTTTAAGTAAATAAATTCAATTAGAGCTTTGTTTCTTCACCTTTCATTCTTTCATTGAGTTTTTTTTGAAAATTAGATGATTATTCTCAAAAATTATTCTTATTTTCATATAAAATGTATGTGAATTATACAATGATTTGAAAAATTTAACAATATGCGATATGTGCGTGTGTGTGTGTGCGTCATCATATCATATCATTATCAATATCATTGTTATTTGCAAATAAGTAAATGGCTTGGATTTGTATGGATAATTAAATTTTTCAATTTAAAAAAAAAGAAAGAAAGAGTGGATACTAACAATATCATTATCATTATCAACATCATTATTATTGGATTTCAATTGTGTCGGCAATGATGATGATGATGATAGTAATAGAATTGTTGACCAAATACTATGACAATCACATTGATAATGATGATAGATAACGGAACAATCTACACAACCATTATATGAACCATAATTGATTTTTTTTCCATATATACAAAAAAAAAGTACAAGAATAGAAAGAAAGAATAAACCATAGAATAGTGAGAAAAAAAAGATGAAAAGATTCAAGTGTTCCAAGATCAAAAAAAAAAATGAAATGAAATGAATAGAAAGCAATGAAGAAGAAAAAAAATTTCTCAAGCCAGAACTACAATGTTAGTATCATCATTGTCAGTATTTAATAGTAATATAATGGATGTGTTTGTGTGAGTGATTCTAAGCAATGTATAGTTCATCATCAACAACAACAACAATAATAACGAGAACAACATCAACAATTTGATTAATATCCTCAAGAAAGAAAAAAAGACTCCGGAAAAAAATTTGGAACACAATTGATGATGATGATGATGATGATGATAATGGTGACCAAATTGTAGTGAATAAAAAAGGAATTATAAAGAAGAAGAAAAATTGTATATAAATAACCAAAAACCAGGCAATGATGCGGATGATGATGATGATGATGATGACATAGAATAATAATAAGATCAACAAGATGTTAAGATATGACTAGTATTCATTAATGTAGAATATTCTTCTTCTTTATTCTATTTTGCTGTTTTTTTTTGTTTTTTTTCTCTTACTTAATATTGAATATTATGGAAAAAATGTTTGCATCTGAATGTGTGTGTGTGTGTGTTTGGTATAAAATTATTAGATTAGATTTGATAAATTGTTCAATTTTTTTCAATATACTAAATAGATGAATGTTGTTGATGACGATGATAATGTAAGAAAATCGATTCTAATTTTGAAATAATATTTCTTTTTTATTTCTTCAAATTCTTTTCAATTTGTTTACTATTTTGTAAATAATTGTCATTGTTTTCTACATAATTCTGATATTTTGATCGGAAATTGGATTTTAGTTACAAATGTACATATTTTTTATACTGTTTGTTTGAGGCACCCAAATATTACAATTATATTCAACAATAACAAGTTCATCATCATTGTTTTATTATTTTTTTCTGATAAATCAATATATTACATTTGTATTGTGATCAATTGTTTGCTTCATTATATCGAATATCATTCATTGATATAAAATTGATGATTTGATTTAATCAATCAATCAATCAATCAATATCGAATATGAATATTATCAGCGGAAAAAAATCTACAATAATTTCATTTTATTTTATTTTTTTTTTTGTATCAGAACAATAAACATATATCTATGGCCATGATTTAATAATTCTCTAAATAAAGCATTGATAAAATATATTTTTTTGTTAGATAGTTAGATAGATATACCCAAAAATCTAATCAATGGGTTTTTCTTTCTTTCTTTTTTCTGTGTTATATTTTTATATATAATCAGAACATTCTGATTATGAATGATCACAGCAACGACAACAACAACAAAAAAAAAGACCAACATGAAGATTTTGACCATGGAATTGTCATTGTGTGTCATAATTAATTTTGGTTTCAGATTTTTTTTTCTCCTATTTAGTAAAAGTGTTCATTGTGTTTGTTAAAAACAAAACGTACAGATGAAATACAGTCTAATTAATGTTACTGATTAATGAGATAATTGAAACAAAACAAAACAAAAAAAAAACATTGACAAATACATATCATCATCATCATCCAATGAACCAGAATCATCATTGTCGTATAATATGTATGATGATATATGTATGGTTTCACAATCACATCACAATTAATTTATCATCATCAGATTTTTTTTTGTCTTTTATTTATTTATTCTAGCTATATTTTATCATCATATCAAAATTATAACAAAGAAAAGAAAAAAAAAATTAATGATGACAATTGTCAAAATAGATAAACTGAAAAAAAAACAATCATAATTTTCATTGAAATGTTACAAACACACACACATAAAGATAAATGTAAACAAAAAAAACACACACACACATAGGTAAATCGATATTAGAAAAAAAAAGACAGATCAGGATAAAATGAAATCATTTAAAAAGCCATACATTTTCATCCAGTTTCTAGCATTTTATTTATGGCGATTAAATTAAATTTTTATTTAAAAAATTTTTTATTTTTTATATCGATCAATTTAATTATTGTCTTCTTCTTCTTCTTCTTTTTTTCTGTTAAAGGTCCATAAAAGTTTTTTTTTCTTTCGTAAAACATGAATCATTGGGAAAATGTTCAATCATCAAGAATTTCCGATACTTTATTCGAAGATGAAAATCATCATCATTATTATGATGATAATGTTGATAATTGTATTTTGTCAATAAATCATGATAGAAAATTATCAACCGAAAATTTTGGATCATCATCATTGTCGCCGTTTGAATCAATAGCAATAACATCGATCGACAAATCTAAACAATTATATCATCAACAACAGCAACAACAACAACAACAACAGAAGCCAAATTCTCGGACATCATCGCCGGCACTTGTCTTCGATCAATCGATATTTGGAACAAACGATTTTTCTTATATTGATGATTCAATATTCTCATTATCATCATCACCATCATCATCATCATCATTATCGTTGCTTACATCGTCAATTTTATTCGATGATTATGATCGATTTTTTGATCAACAACAACAACTTGAACAAATGACCAATAATCAAAATTTGTCATCATCATCATCATCATCATCGTCCTTACCAACAACACAACCGAAGCCGCAACAATTTTTACTGCCATCATCATTATCATCATCCGGTTTGATTACGGAAATTGTCGAAATGCAACAAAAACAACCGGTTACAACAGCAACAGAAACAATGGACATTCCAGATGATAAGATAAGCATGATCGAAACAGATATCGTTATCAATGATAATTCATTGATGATGACAAACGAAAATGAATCATCAATGAATCAATCAATTTTATTAATAAATAATTGTGATGATAAACAATCATTGAATGATAATTCATATTGTCTAAATAATTTATGGCCAATATCATCATTTCCGGCTGATCCAACAATGATGGTTTTTGATGATTTATCAGCAAATTGGCCAGATTTTAATCAAGAATTAGATTTGATAAATGATTTAGGATTTTCACCAGATCATCATCATAATCATCATGAAAATCAGTATCATAATTCTTCACAATTGAATAATATTGATTATGAAATGAATAGAAATTCAGCGTCAGAAGAATTTTCAATTGAAAATAATGACAATAATTATCATAGTAATAATACGGGTAAGATATCATTCAAATCACCATTGAAAAAAAATCGAATAACGATAATAAATTTTTTTTCTTCACAAAAATATAGATCATCAGTATGAATCAATAATAACTGAATCAAATAAATCTAGTCCATCAATACTATCATCATCATCATCATCATCATCTTCTTCATCATCATCATCGTCTTCCTCGTCGTCATCATCATCGTCGTCATTCAACATATCGACGACGACATCATTAATGATGAATGATTCAGGAATCGGCAGCGATACAGAAATATCAATGAATTCATCAACAACAACAACATTAACAGATTCTATTTCTCCATCATATTCACCATATGATAATAATCATAAACATCATAATCATCCATTGGGAATTTTCAATCATTCTACAAATATATCTACATTCAATCGATCTTATAATTCGAATAAAGATCATCATCATTATAATCAATATGATCCATTTTTAAGCGATACAAGTACCTATCATACGAACAATTATTATTATAATAATCGAAATGATTATCACTTAATTCAACCTAAAATGATTGATTCGATTAATCAGTGTAACATCGGTAATGTAGATAACATAACAAATTCATTATCATCAACGCCATCACCATCATCATCATCAAAAGCAACAGAATCTTCATGTTATAATAATAATAATAATAATAATAATTTATCACAGATTCAATTTTGTGAAGAATTTTTTAATTCAACAGTATCTTTAGCGCCATCTAAGCTTAATGAATCAAATTTGATTGAACAGGAACAAAAAATCGCCATTCAAAAAACAGCAATAAAAACACCGAAGAAAATTGGTCGACCACCGAAAAATATGAATAATAAAAGTAATGAGAAAAAAACAAATAACAATAAAGTGAACAAAAAACAAAAGTTAACATCAACAACAACAGCCACAATAATAAATGCTAACAATAATTTATCCGAAACAAATGAACAATCATACAACGTTGAACCTATTCCAACCAAATCATTGAATCAACAATCGATAAATAATATGACGAATGATAAGCAATTTGTATGCACATATGATGGCTGTGGTAAAATCTATTCAAAATCATCACATTTGAAAGCACATCTTCGTCGCCATACGGGAGAAAAACCATTCGCATGTGATTGGCCTGAATGTAGTTGGAAATTTTCACGTTCAGATGAATTATCTCGTCATAGGCGATCACATACAAATGATAAACCATATGAATGTCCAATATGTCATAAACGATTTAGCCGTAGTGATCATCTTAATAAACATCTCAAAGTACATCGTAAAGATTTTCCTGAATCAAAATTTAATTTTACATTCTATATGCGTCGTGGTCAGGTTGGAAGGCGACCAAAATCGGTTAGTTATTTGAATCAGGAAGTAATGCAAGAACAGAAACGTCGTATTGAAAATCAATTGGCTGCAGCCAAAAAAGAATTACTAATGAAACAATCACAATCAAATAAAGATTTATTGGCCGATAATAATCTTGATAATTATTGTAATCAAATTGTCGACAATCAAAATTCATCAACAATTAATCAATCAAATAATAATGATAATCACAAAGTTTATCATGAAATCATAACTAATCAATAATTTATGATTTCAATAATGACCGATATTTTTTTCATTTTTTTTCTCAGAAAAAAATTATCAATTCAATATTGAAACAATTTTATTAACACTGGATTCCTATAATTTCAAAATATTTTTTTTTTCTAGTCCAACTAAAATTATTGATTCAAAAGCAAAGCAAAAGGAAAAAACAACACCCACACGAATACAAATTGTATTTTCCATTGCGAAATTATTATTTTTTTACAAAATATTTTTCATGTTGTTTTTTTTGTTTATTTAATTTTCACTTAAAATGATTGATTTTTTCGTTTCTTTTTTTTTTGTTTCAATTAATAAATTTACATAATAATTTGTAATGTTTCAAAATGAACATTTTATTCATTTGTATTTGATATTATCATTGTATACAACAACAACACTGTAACTGATGATGATTTTTGATTCTGTAGCCAAGAATTTTTTTTCCTTCATTTTTTCATCATACAGGTTTAGTTTTGATTTTTTTTTCATTCAAATTGAAAAATATTTATTTCCAATCAATAATTATCTGTATCGATTTTTTTTTTGTCAATTTTAAAGAATTGTAGAATGTTTTTTTTTGTTGTGAATGTAAATATGCTGATGGCGATGATAATGATGATAATTATAATAAAATTTTAAATTATGATGAATAATAATAATAATAAAACAGAAATAAAATGATTGATTTTTAAAATGCTAAAAAATATGATCAGAAAAAGCCTTTCTCCTCTTTGGAATCATCAACAACATCATCCATATATGATGATGATGATGATGATAACGATGATTTTCTTTTATTTTCATTCACATTATTAGCTGTAATTTTTTTATGAACTTCATTTTCGTGATCATCATCATCATCATTAAGAACACCATAATAAGGATTTTTAGCGATTGATGATAAACGTGCCGGTAATCGAAAATGATGAGAATTTTTATTTTGTTCCGATTTTAAAATTCCTGATGTTCGACTTCCACTGCCATCTGCTGTTGGTTTACCTTTTATTTGAGGATTTTCATAACGTAAATTATGGCCTTTATGAAAATTTTTTTTTTTTTGATAATTACTACATGAACAAATTACTTTAAAAAAATAATAAACTTACTATTCGCATAGATTGATTGTGAAAATTTTTGTCCAATTTGGATTTTATGCTTATTATTATGATTTTGATGACGATATTGATTGATAGCATTCTGTAAGGATTGATCATCACCATTAAATTGATTGGTAATTGGAGAATTGGCAATATTTTTATATATTGAACTATCTGCAGCAGCAGCAGCACTATTTGGAATAATTATTGGCGATTGATGAGCTAACGTTTGGCCATGTTGAAAATAATTTCGCATCGATAATGGCAATAATTGTGATGTCGTTATCGGTGGAACAATACTATATTCCGGCATAACCGATAACAACGAAGGATTGATTGGCATCAATGAATTCATGAGCAAATCAGTTTGAGGCATATAGCTTGGATATGGTTGAAAATATAGTGAATAATGTGGATGTGAAATTGAAATTAATGCATGATTTCGATTCATAATGGCATTCTTATGTCGTTTAAATAATCCGGATAAAACAGAATCTTCATTAAATGTAGATGCAAACGAAAGTGGTTTATGTAGCAATGATGATGAAACCAATAGACCATCATCATCACGGTGATTAATTTTTTTCGATTGTTGTGATTGTTGATGCAATTGATGAACGGCAGCTATCGTACATTTGAAAATGGACAAATAAATGATGATCATTATCATCAATATAAATAAATTGATGCCCATTTTTCATATAAGATTATTATTATGCTGGAAAATAAACAAATCAAAGATTGCCAATGTGAAAGCCGATAGAAAAATATAAAAATTCTTGAGTGGACAAAAAAAAATGTCTACTGTTTATAATGGTGAATTTCAAAGATGAATGGTTGTTTGTTTGTTTGGTTCTCTCAACTACTTTTTCAGATAGTTTATTCGAATATAATATTTTCAAGTCATGCTCTATATTACAAATGGTGGACGTGTGATCAAATTAGGACAACAAAATGACCATGTTTAAAATGAATATACTGATGTCCGAATTTGTTCAAGCGGTGAATATTTTTTTTTCTTCAATATTTGATATTGATAAATCATCAAACAACAACAAGAATTTTTCGGTCAGCTTTTATCTCGTATCTGAAATACGATCGAAGGAATATTATCATCATGTGTTTTAAATATGGAATCAAAATTTTCATCAATAACAATTTCATTCGAAAGATTATCAACATGTTTCTGTATCCTATTAACCCAAAGCGGTCGTTCAATACGATCTAATTGTTGCCACTCTAGACTACATTGTTCTAATTTTTGTTGAAAAATATTTAATAATTTTGGGTTACGTATAGCACAGCAAATGATGCAATCAGGATTACGACGCAATGAATCGGCATTTTTATAAACATTGAACATTGTTCTCAATGTTCGTACAAATGGTTCAATAAAATTTGGGTCATATATTACATCAGAAGCAATTATTAGATCACTAATGGAAGCAGAAAAATCAAAAAATTCATAATCAGTCCAATCAAGTTTTTGTATAACTACTTTGAAATTATTGTTTCTATACTGATTAATATTATTAATAAATAAATTCAATTCTATGTGTTTCAAAACAGCCTGACTATGATCAGTGAAAATATAATGTCCATTTTTGATGAAACCAGAATTGATTAGGCCAACGCCCAATAATCCAGACCCTGAACCTAATTCAACAACATTATTCCAATCATTTGGTCGTTCCCATTGAATGTTTTTATAATTTTCCGGCTTTCTAAGATAATTTAATAGATGAATAGCTGCTGGCCATGTTCGAAGACCAGTTGTACCAGAAGTAACTATTTTATTAGTCTCAATTATCGACAAACGAAATGTATCGAATACATGTGTAACGAAACCAATGTTTTCATCATGTTCAAATAATCGACATAAACGATCCAAAAGATCGCCATCATTTTCATTTAGATCTTGATAATATGACCGATTGATTTGTTGTGTTTTAATACTTATCAAATCAGCATATAATGGATAGATTTCATCCACAAGGCAATCAGCATCGAAAATTTGTTCGAAAATTCGGATTAATTGTTTTAGAAATTGTCGTAGATAATTCAAAGGCAATGGATATTTTTCAAGTCGTTTGTTCAGTATGGTGAATGAAAGCAGCTCTTTTTGCATATCATTTAGGCATCGTATTTTTTTGATTCCATCTTCATTATCATCAGTGACAATTTTATGTATTCGCCATTTTATTAGGATACGCTAAACAATCACACAATTCTTTTATATTAATGGAAAATTTGAATGAATATACTCACGATAAACGGTATTAATACATTGAGACGAGTTTGCTGTAAAAATAAAAATTCAACAAATTTAAAATTATAATTCATCATGAAATTTTTTTTTGATCTTCCATGGAAGATAAAATGAAACAACAACATCTGTTCTTGGATTATCCTCATCAGCTGCCATCTTGTGACGGAAATAAATGTTTCAGGAAAATCGAGTCCAAACAAGTTTTTGTTCATTCGATCGAACAATCAACAGATAAGACCAATGTCGTACGATCATTTTCATTGCTAAATATTTTTCCTCAATCGTCATATGGCAACGGATAAAAATTAAAATCTGATTGATCTAATTGTGAAAGAACAAATGGCATCATCAGTATGTTCCGATTCAAATAATGAATTCGAAATCAATGAATTAATAATACCGACAAATTATGGTCATATTTCAGCTAAAACATGGCACCATAATAGTCCTGAACGATTAAAAGTTCTTGCCGTTCATGGATGGCAGGTATGTCTCGATTTACATTGAACCATTTATTTTTTTTTCATCATTTACATATTAATCAATTTTCTAATAGGACAATGCGGGAACTTTTGATCAACTTTTTCCTCAGCTTTCTTCCGAATCAATGTATATTGTTGCAATGGATTTACCTGGTCATGGATCCAGTAGTCATTTGCCTAAAGGTGTTCCATACACTGATTCAACATGGGTGATTGCGATTAAGCAAGTTTTAGAATATCTAAATTGGAAATCCAATGTTACCATCATTGCACATTCAATGGGTGCTTTAGCTTCACTTGATTTTGCAGCATTGTTTCCCGAAATCGTAACCCGATTGATAATGATCGATACGATTAAACCACGACTTTATGAACCCGATAAATTGGCCAAAGAATCAATGGATAGCGTTTCATTGTTTTTACGGACTCAAAATATATCACATAGACCAAATTATAGTTTCGATGTCGATAAAGCGATCAATGTTGTGATACAAACACACTTTAATGGTAATTTAAACAAAAATGCCGCATTCTGTTTGATGCAACGTGCAGTTGATTTTCAAAACAATGGCACAGTCACATTTCGACGTGATCCACGTCTTAATTGTATAATACGAAGAAAATTTGAAAAATCTCAATTTAAAAATTATTTAGATGGTTTAAAATGTCAATTAATGATATTACGTGCACGCAGTACACATCATACATTGCGATGTCAACACGATAGAGAATTTATTGAATTTTATCGAAAAAAATGTTCAACATTTCAATATCATGAAGTCGATGGTGATCATTATGTTCATCTAATTCATCCGTCCAATGTTTCATCATTGATTAATGATTTTATTAATCTCAATTAATAAATTGTTAGAATTCAATTTTCAATTTATAATCAATATTGTTACAATTAAATATCAAATTTATTTAATCGTTTTGTTTTTGTTCTAATTTGCGTTGAACAAATGAAATTTTTAACCCATTTATCGAACGTAGTATCATTTCACCAACAATGACAAGTTTATCACGTGGATCAATTGATTTAAGATAGAAATTTCGTATAATTTTAGCAATGACAATTTTCACTTCATTCATTGCAAATTTTTGCCCAATACAATTTCTTGGTCCAGCCGAGAATGGTATAAACGAAAATGGATGTCTTCCACTACAATTTTCTGGTAAAAATCTTTCTGGTACAAATTTTTCCGGTTCAGGATAAATGTCTGGATCACGATGCAATACATAGGTAAATATTCCAACAGTAGTTCCTTTTGGTATGATGTAACCATCTTTTTTTTAAAATCAAAATAATAATCATTTAATTGAATTTGTTTCCATTCAAACATTACTTACTGATTTTTGTATCTTCACTTAAATCACGTCCAATGAATGGCGCCGTTGGATATATCCGCTGTACTTCTTTGATAACACAATCAAGATATTTTAATTGTTTAATTTGTTCAATTGATAGATCGATATCAGAGTGGCTACAATCATCAAACACTTTATCGATTTCTTCGCGTAATTTTTCTTGAATATCTTGATGTATGCCTAACATATATAATGTCCAACTAATTGCATGCGATGTAGTATCATGTCCCTATTTAGCATATCAGAAAAGGTTTATTTTTCATGAGTAAATAATAATTTTAAAAAAATTCCTATTTTCATCATATCCTTACTGCAAACATAAACGTATCCACTTCTTCCCGTAGATCTTCTAATGTTAATTTTTTTGTCACCAGATGATGTTGTAGCAATAGATCAAGAAAAGCTAATCGATTACTATTTTTAAAGAATTTAGATGTTTTAATCTGATCAAAATCATTTATCATTGTTTGATCATTTTGATTGCTTGATAAATATGTCATCCAATCATCACGTCTTTCTTTGATAACTTTCATTGTAAAGTTTTTTGTCTGTTCGACAGATCTATGATCAATAACAATTGTTTTTTTTTGTATTATCATTTAGCAATTAATTTAAAGTCAGAAATTCAGTTACAAACCTGTTGAATAATCGTCCAGAAGAGCTTAGATTGAATGTTATATTTGGCCATAGCCATGGTCTCATTAAACGAATCAAAAAGATTCTACTGATATTATATAATGCTTCAACATATTCATGATCGGAATTTGCCTGAAGATTCAATTTAACACCCATTGCTGTTTCACAGATAATATCCAACATACATAATGTTATAACTGGTACAACATCCATATCATTCGTATGATTTGATGTTAATCGATTTAATTTAGCAATCAAAATATTTGACTGTTCATTGATGATTGGTAGAAAATCTTCAATAATACGAAAATGGAATGCAGGTGTTAATATTTTACGTCGAATTCGCCATTTTTGTCGACCACTTGTAACTAATCCTTCACCAAGCCATGAATTTAGAAATCGATATTCAGCCGATTTTTGTGTTAACGTATTACTATTCAATATAACTTCAACATCATCTGGTCGATAAAGTAATACTAATGGTTTTAAACCAATCCACATTCGACATATACCTTCTTGTTGATAGATTTTATTCACTGATGATACCATCTGATAGATTACTTTCATTCAAAATAATCAATAAATATTTTGAATAAAATAAATAAAAATTTTTTATACTTACAAGCATATGTACCATGTTGATAACGGCAACGATCTAAATCAAGTACAATATATGCATGACCAAGCCATGGTACCCATGGATTTACAGGTGGACCGGGAATTTTATTCACTAATGTTACTAATTGATATTGTCGTCGTATAATATGTATGATAATAAATGTAAATATCGATGTTAAAATAAGATATTTAATCAATGATGATGATATAATAAACGATGATGTTGTTGCTGATAATAATTTTTCCCATGATTGTGATTCTATAGTCATACTATATTGATTCATTAAACAATTGATATTATTGATTAATAATGCCATTTTTTTATTACATTTTCAATAAACAAAATGAATATTCAAAACAAAACAAAAAAAAAGTTCACACACAAATTTTTAATAAGTAATATTCAAAATTTAACAAATGTCATCATCATTAACGGAAAAAATTCGAATGATCATCTAAATCGTTGGTTATATACCAAAAAAAAAATTATGGATAATGTTGATAAAAAAGAAACAAGAAAAAAAGTCAATTTTCTTCAACAAAAAAAAAAAAAAAAAATTGTCGATGATGAATTGATTGTCAAACAACACCTTTTTTTATTTTATATTTTGCTATACTTCTTTATTCATATTCATCAATAAGATTTTTCTTTCATTCGAAATGAAAAGAAAATAACTTTTTTCAAAGGAAACGATAAAGGATGATATGAGAGACATAGAAAATGACCAGAAACGAAAGAAAATGAGAAACACAAAAACCATTTGGAAAGAGAATGAATGAATGAATGCATTTTTCATATATTTTTGAATCGAATAAACTGTTTCTTGTTGTTTTTCATTTTGATTATAATGTGTGTGTGTTTATATATGTGTTTAGGTAATTGTGGAAAATCTTAAACAATAAAATTCAATTGTTTTTGAAATTTGTTATTCAAACAAATAAATAAACATCAATTAATGTAATCTGTTATTGACATTATCTGTGAATTCATTAGATTTGGATAGTAAATAATAATGGTATTTTTCTTTAAATTGATTATCAACCGAAACTTATTTGGTTGGTAGAGAGTGAGAGTGAGACCAAAAGAAAATAGGAAAAATATGGTCAGAACAAACAAAAACAAATTCGAATGCTAAATAACTAACTTTAATGAAATTTGGTTCAACCGAATCGATTGACATATTGTAACAACAAAAATGAAGATAAAAATCTTTTGTTTTTCTTGATTTAATTAATGATGATCAATTTTGGCCATCAAACAATGATTTAGCCAATGAAACAAAAAAAAACAATGCCTGAAACATAATCATACACAATTATATCATGGCCTCTAAAAATTCAAATAACCAAAAAAAAAAATGTTGCAAAAAACAATTGTGAATGTCAAAGTCAATGTGTGTGTGTATATTGTTCAACAGAATATAATTAGGTCAGATAATTTAACCAAAAGCGAAACATAAAAACATCACCATTATGCTTTATTCAAAATCATTTGTTGTCAAAAAAAAAAAAGAAGAAAGAATAGGAAGTAAAATCAATTGAAACATTCTTATGAAAAATAAATTTTTTAGAAAATGAAAATTTCTTTTCAACAACAGAAAAAAAATCGATTCAATTCAGTCGTTTTTTTTCTTTTTGATTCAATCCAATCAGCATGTCATCCTCACAACAACAAAAACAAAATCACTTGACACTGGCCTCCAATACAAAATTATTATTGTTATATCCATGGTTCTTTTCATTTCATTGTTCATGATCAAATCGAAATGGATTGTGAATTATCTTTGCTTTTTTGTTCAACAAGGACAACAACAACAACAACAAAAAAGGAGAAGAAGAATTATTCGATGACTTATAATCAAACATGTCAAGTGGAGGTTTTTTCCTATTAATTTTCTTTTCCTTCCTATTTTGATGATGATGATGATGATTTTAAATCATATTATAATCTTTGACAAACAATGTTTACACATTGTTTTGTTTTTTGTTTTCTAAGTAAGTGTGTTTCATTTGGAACAACAATTTGTTCCAAATTTTTTTTTTCTTATTTAACTATGCCGTTGGAGTCAACTGGTTGTTGTTTTGTTTTTTTTTTCATTTTTCATTTGATTGATGATGACATCTGTCATATCTGGTGGCTATAACATTATCAATCTATTTGAATTCCAATTTGAATTGATTTGAACAAATTTTTATTTATTTATTTATTTATTTGTACTATATAATTTGAAGATTTTAAATAAAATTCTTCACCACATATGATGAAGTGTTATGCCATAATGATTGTTCATTGTTTTGTTTTTTGTTTTTCCTATATAATTGTTTGATTTAGAATGAGATTTGTTTTGTTGTTTTTTGTTAGAAAAAAAATGGCCATTGTCAATGCCATGACGTTGACGATTGATTTGATATATAAAACATTTTTTTTTCAGGATCAATCGATGGTCAATGTTATATAATGTTATATTCATGAACATACAATAAATATTGATATTTCTCATGAATGTTAAATTGAAATTGAAATTGAAATTGAAATCTTAAATCAATTCATCATTAAATGTTTTTCTATTTGTCATTTTTGATCTCAATTTTTTTTTTTGGTTGATGTTGCTTTATTCAAAATGCTTCATTTATCTTTTTTTTAATTTTGGAGTGGATAATGGTGTAATACACTATGAAAATGAAATTTTTTTTAAATATTCATCCTATTTAGATTTGGATGAATAGATATATAGAAAACAAATTCCATTATTCAGATTTTTTTCTAAATATTATGGATGTTATTTTGCTGAAAATCATAATACATACAATCGTTCAATACAAACAAATTTTCCAATAATGACCATTTATAAATGTGAATAAACATTTCTTGTTTAGGTCTTTTGTGTGATTGGAACAAACGTCATCCGACAAATCATCAATGAATGATGATGATGATAATGATGATGATGATTATTGTGGCAACAATTGTGTGTCGTTCATACAATTATTATACTGTTTATATATAAAAGAAAAATAAGAAAGTTTGAATAATCGAAAGTGCAATGGACTGACAAATTTTTTTTCTGTTCAATGGATTTCTGTATAGTTCCAGGATTTTTTTTCTTCTTATTTTATTTTAAACACATTTTTCCTTTTGGACTTTTTTTTTGATGACAAAAGAAATTTTGTTGTTGTTGTTCATCTTCTATTCAAAATTATGATCAAGTATTTGCTAACAGCATCCAACAACATTATTATCAATGGTCATTCAATGATTTGATCAATAACGATGATGATGATGATGAAAAGTGTAGGTTTTTTCCTTTTTTGTTGTTGATGTTTTTTTTTCTGTTACGGAAACATGCTAATTGATGGATAAGTTTTTTTTCCAAAAAAATTTTTTTTCGAATCGAAAAATATATTCGAAACGAGATTTTGTTCATAATAAGTTTTGGTACGATTTGGGTAACAGATAAAAAAAACAAACAATTCGAATTCGAATTCGAAATATTTGTAGTAGCAGTAATGAATGATAAAAAAACCGGTAGTAGTAGTAATGAAAAATGATACGCGAAACAAGGGTCCATAGAATTTGTATGGTTATCAATAATGCTACTCATTCCCATTCATTATATATGAGTGAGGAATGCTGAGTGATATACATTCGATTCTTCAATGATCCATACGATCCAACAAACAACTGTTAAACTGATTTCAACATCAGTAAATAACGATGACGATGACAATTTTTATTCCAGAGAATTCTATTCTGAAGACATATGTTTTTTCTTTGTTTCAGTTTAATGATTATTTTATTTGAAAAATTGTTTTCAAATAATCAATTTCCTATTGTTTAACAATGGAAAGAATTATTATTGAAATTCGTAATGAATGTTCACATAATATGTCCGCCGATTTGGCTAAATATTGTGATGTTATTCTAGGTTTGTTTCTTATTTCTTTTTTTTTTGTAAATTGGTGTTGTTTTTCTATCAATGATTTCTATCCATATCAGATTCAATACAGGCTGATCTTGTTGAATCGAATGTTCAACAACAGGAAAAACATCTGCAATTGATATTACAATTGTTCAAAATATGTGTTGAAAATAATGTATCGAAATTGAATTTATTGAGCATCGATTTGCTAAAACTTTACATCCGGCAAACAAACGAATCAAATAATGATTCAATAAAAGGTTTGTAATGATTAATATTATTATTTGTATCTTTATTATTACATCCTTACATATTTTACACATTTTATCTAATAATGATAATAATATTTTATGTTTTAGAATATACGATAAACCAGATATTAAAATCATATTGTAATATATTTAATAAAAATGGTGCATTAATGTCGCTTGAATTGTTGGGTTTCATCATCGAAGTTTCGGCTACTTTCGTAAAACATTTAACTATTGTTCATGTGATAGACATTATTGAACTTTGTCATAAACAGATCAAAGAATATGTTCTTAAAGGTTCAATTGGTTCGGCTAATTCTAGTCAAAGAGCTTCATCAACATTACGAAATTTGTTCACAGTACATAGAAATTCTAATCAGGATAAAGTTTTTTCTGCAATCAATATGACAGCCGGACAAGTATGTCATTATTTTGTAAAAAATAAAATTGTCGAACATCGTCATCAATCAATATCGAGTGAAGAAAATAGCAAACCATCACAGGATTTTATTCATCTAATGCTATTTCTGATCAAAAAACTTGAAACGAAAGTTAGCTTTTTGAATGAAGTAGAACTATCGCGTCACAAAATAGATAAACATGGTGATAATGAACGCATCAAATCATCGGTTAATGAAACCAAAGTCGAAATATTTATCTTGATAAAAACATTCAATTGTTTCTATCTAAAATGTATACATTTCATTTTATTAACCATACCGGATGCATGGAAACATATGACAAACCGATTGATGGAAATCATATGGAAATATTTGGCACCCGTTCTTATTCATATATTAAATCCAACATCGACTATTGCAGTTTCGAATTTGAATCCCATTGATTCGTTAATGGGAAATCATCATGATGAAAAAAATCAGACAACATTTTTCGGTCGTGGATCTGAAAGATTGCATTTAACTTCACCGGTCAATCGAAAACATCATACATTAAATGGTTTGAACTATCAGGAACGTCAATACATATATAAAATATCAATAGAATTACTTCGTTTGTTCGGCCTGGAAAATTCAATGCGTCCCATATTGGAAGCTCTATTTTATAGAATATTTTTATTACCACCATTGAAACAAAGACTTGATTCATTAATCTATATGCAAGAAATATTCAAAAATCCATTGTTGGTTTTGGTTCTAATCAGTGATCCAATATGTTTGTTCGGCCCATCAGTTTCTAATTCACAACATTTAGATTTGTTTCAGATATTTATGGATGCAATCAAAGAGGCAAACCTTTGTGACGACTTGATTCTTAATCAATCGAGTTTAGTTTGTTTAGCATCATTATTAAGTACGTTGAAAAACATTGTCATTCTTGAAAACGGTTCATCTGATCGAAATATGGACAGCTTTAACAATGGTGATTCAAAAATTTTAAATTCTTCAATCACAAAAATGATCTGTTCATATGTTGAACGAAACAAAAAAACATTCGAATCAACCTTAAATAATGTTAATTTGACCAGTCGAAATCGTTTACGTTCGACTAGTCGTATGGCTAAATATAGTACTCCACAGCCATATGATCGTCCTATAAATTTCTCATCGATCAAAGATAGAATTTATGGATATGATATGATTACATCGCTTGAATCACGAATAAAATCGAAATCTTTCACATTGTCCAGTAACACTGTTCAGGAAAGAAAAAACATTCTAGTTGATTCAGAAAGTGGTGCAAAAGCGCAAAATAGTTCTAATTATGAAGATATTGATTTTCATGACAAACTTAAAGCATTGATTTCATCATCAACATTAACCTCATCATCATCATCATCTTCTCCACCATTACCATTGGGAAAAAAGAATGATGAGTCTTGTCATCAATCTAATAATCAACAACCGATTCCAACATTTCAAAGTTCAAGTTTGCATCTTTCATTCGAAAATCTTCATCGTCTTTCATCATTGAATTTAGATTTAGATGTTGATCATTTGAGATTCACAAACAGTGAGTCAAAATTAAATATGCTTTATTGTGGTGAATTATCATTCGTTAATGTTCATGATGACAAAAATGTTGGTGACGAAATAATTAGTTTGGAAAATAGTTCAGTATTCGATGAAATATCTTCAAGTGATTCCGATGTTCGCACTCACAACTATGATGATGATGATGATGATGATGTAAATCTTGAATCCGACGATGCAAATGTTGAAACATTTGTTATGTCAAAAATGTTTCGCTATACCAAACGTTCAAACTTTCAATCATCAAATCTTTCTTTTTTTGAACGATCATTGGCACAGATTTTCGTTAGAAAATTGTCAAAAATTTTACCTGACTTAGCTAATTGTCGAAATTTATTCGCAGTTGATGAAGCTATTCAATCATTCGCATCGTTATTTTGCAAAAATTTATATATTAATCTTAATATTTTGATGCGATCAAATTCTGTGAATAAATCTGCTTTGATTGATTTGGAAGATGAAGAAATTGAAAAAATACAAAATTATAAAGATCTATTCAACAATCTATTTATCAATGCTGATGGTATTTATTTAACAACTTATCTTATATTGTTATTCAATTTAAAACTACAATATTCAAACTATTATGAACATGATATTAAAAATAATATACCAATCAGTGAAAAAGCATTTGTGGATGACATTTTTGATTATCATATTACCATTTATGTTTCACAAAATTTTCTGGCCGAAATCTATCAAAATGTTCTAGCTACAAATCTATTCGATTCAATTTACAATGAATATCGGTCAGATTTCAATAAATTGCCATTGGTCAAATTTCTTTTAGATATTGATATTCTTGATCGTAATAATCCAGATGCATTTAAATTATCCGATTATGTTCGGCTTGAACAAATGGCCACAAAAAATCATTATTATCAACAATATCAACCGAAAATTGATTCGAATGATCAACAAAATCGATGTAAACAACTAAATCTATTGATAAAAAGATTTTTTCATTGTTTTTGGGAGCCGATTATTCTTTGTTTACGACAAGCATTAAGCAAAAAATTTACTTTTCAAAACATGGTCCAATTAATCGATTCATATAATGTAACCTATTTAAGTTCTGTTTGTTTGATATTCGATTGTGAAAACAAACATTCTTTGGCCCAAACCAAAAATGTAAGTATCAAACAGCAACTGAAAACGCGTTCAAATAAATGGGCAACAATTTTTGTATCGATTTTATTTTATTTTTTAAATTTTCTTTACTTTGTTTGTTTACCAATCACAGACAAACGTCAGTATACAGATAATTTTGGTATTGTTTGATATTTGCGAAAAAGTTGGATACTATAATCAAATTGACAAAATTTATGGCCTTCTTTATCAATACATTACGAAATTTTGGCAACAAAATCCGAAATATAAAAATGAGCTTAAAAAATCTTTCTCATCTAACGATGTTGTTCAGCAAACATTTGGACATGCAAATTTTTCTTTTTCACAAATAATTGCATTGAAAACATTATTAACAAGTCCGATTCGTATTGGAAGCCATTGTCCACGAATATGGAAAAATGTTCTTGATCTATGTAAATTTGTCATCGATGTAGAAAATTATACATTTAGGTCGAGTCGAACAAGTTTACTTAGCCGCGCTAGAGTTTCAATCAATACTATTCTTAAATCAAATTCAATGTCATTTACTTCGGGTAATGCAAATTTTGATTCAAATCTTCATGCAGATCATTATCAAAATCTTTATGATCATACTGCATTCAATCAATTTCCCGGTATAAATGAAGCTGAATATTTGAATTTTGAACAACAATTCGATATTGTTCTGAATGAAATTAAAACACAAAAACAAGAACTTGAGCCAGATTCTAAAGATATGGAACATATTATCGAATATCTATCATTATTGGTGTCGCAAATTTTTGAAACGATTCCATTAAAATGTAATTTATCACTATTGTATAGTTTTATCTGTGAACTATGTGATTATAGCAAAATGCAATTAATCAAACTAAATGATCAAATAAATTTGTTGAATGCATCTCAATCGCAACCGAGAATAACATTAATGATGAATACCGATCAATGGTCTAGTCAGGATGGTAAATCCTTAATGTTATTTCGTTTGGTCGAAGTAGTATTACGATTTGTTAGGAATGGTAGACCATTATTACATTTTATGAAAATATGGCCGACTGTTTCATCACATCTAGTATTAGCATCTACACATAAAGATACTAATATTTCTAAAAAGGCAATAGCTTCATTACACGATATAATTAATGCTTTTTTATCGTCGTATAGTGAATTAGATTTTTTTCACTTTAACGAATCATTATTTAAACCATATGAAAAATTATTACGATATGAAATGTGCAATTCCGAAACACAACAAGAACTTGTGCTATATTCTATTTGTGAATTTGTTGAAGGAGCATTGAAAGAGATAAGATCTGGTTGGAAATCCATATTTAAAGCTTTACGTGGATTACGACTTTCGATTGATGAAACAGCTACGAATACATTACAACAATCTAAATTTAATTGTAGTCATCATGTACAGATTTTAACCGATACATTCGAAGCATTTTTACGTACAGATAATATGCATGTTTTGGCATATGCTTCGGTTGATTTTATACCTTGTATATTTCATTTGATTCGCAATTTTTCTACCGATCTCATAGACAATTCCATAACAGAATATCGTAAGTTTTTCGAAATCGTTATTCTCATTATTAATAAAATTATTAATATTCAATGAATTTACAGAAAATGAAGTTTTCATCATATTTCTGAAATGTTTGCAAAAATTTTCGAAAATACTTCGATCCATCAATGAAGTCTCAGATGATTCGTTCATAAATTTTCATGTTCGAATCAAAAAGACACGTTTATTAGATTTGGAAAAAATTAGAGAATCATTATCATCAATAGATTCGGAGATAAATTTAGAATTTCTACAAGCTTCACGAAATCATTTTAAAGATTCACCCATCGAACGTTCAAGCTCACTTCTGCAAATTTGGTACTTGTTTTTGGATGAATATTCATCAACCATTTGTTTTAGTCATTTAGAATTTCGTCCAATGTTATTGGAAGTTTATTTCACACTAATACAAATAATCGCCGATATGGATGATACATTGGAATTTTCAGTCTATTGCTTCAATCATATTGATCTACCTATGATACAATGTTTGTTTAGAGAAACAATCAATAATAATAAAATTGACGAGCTTTATATTTTCCTGAAAAGTTGGTTACAAGTATTTAATAATCAAGCAATTAAATTTTTATTGGCCGAATATTCATTAAACGATCAACATAAGCAGAATAATTTACACGAATCACGCGACCTTATGTTTCAACAAACATTAATGGTATACATTGAATGTCTAAACGGAAATTATCATGATTTGATATCCATTCTTGCATTATCATTGATCAAGTATGTCACTTTAAACAAATTTAATAGGAAATTTTATTCATTTTTTTCCAATTCATTGACAGACATCTTTTATTATCATTGAATCGGATATTTACAACAAAATTATGGAAAATACTAATCGATTCTTTTCGAATTGCACATCAATTAACCATTCATCCTTTAGTGTCGTTGGTAAATGCATTTCATAATCTACCTGTTGATATAAACAATGATCTTGAACAAATCAAAATCATCACGATCCGTAATCAAACATCTACTTCATCTTTGTCATATAATAACAATTACATACAGAAACGTGCTCGGCAAATATTTTTTATTGGTGACCAATATAAACAACAACAAATTGAGAATAATTCCCAAAATTATTCAAAAGATAATCAATTTATTTCGCACACAATTATAATTGAAACATCAAATGGTCTTCAACAAAGCATTTCATTCAATCTATTCATCATTCAAATCAATAATCATTTAACTTTATTGCAAATATTATCATCATTATTGACATTCAATGTAAAACCTCATTTTACTGAAATAGTGCCGTTTTTTTACGAAAATATTGATGAAATCTGTTATGACAATAATAATGGCGATAATTTATCTATCCCTTTATTGAATCTTCAATGGACACAATATAATGAACTATGTTTTCTGCTTAAACAATCATTTACGTAATTATTATTTGTTAAATGTTGGTGATTCTGCGTACTAATAATTTTAATTTTCGAATAGATATTCAATGAAATTTGATCAAAGATTTGGTCTAAAATCTCTTTTACGACATTTAGCCCATTCAAATCTTATTCCAAATCTATTTCAAGTTTCGTCGTTAGTTTGGTCTACACAGTTTTCTGTGAATTTTTTCTTGTGTTCACATCCTAATTTCAGGAACGAAGAGAATCTTCTAGCTTTGGAAGAATTATTCACAGAAATTGGAACTATTTATGCTGAAAAGAATGAAATGAATCAGAAACAACAATCGACAAACAAATTAAATAATCGAAATTTAACATCATCATTGATTCAAACATATGATTATGAAGAATCTGGTGAGTTATTTTATTTTACAGGTTTTCAATGAATTTGATTATTAATTTCTATTTACAGGGTCGATTGATCAAAAAGTAACAAGATTAATGCCACAGGATCATGTTTCGCGCTTACTGAATGAATATAAAAAAAGTAAACAATCATTTAATCTATCACAACAGCCCGATCTTCTTAGTACAAAACAAGAATCACAATCAAATGAAATGAATGATGAACAATTGAAATTTCTTAAATCTGATCTGAACACTTTTATCCGAATTTGGAATGGCATACTGAGCAGATGTCTACAAAAACATATTGACTGTGATCTTCATTCTTATCGTTATATGTTAAGACAATATCAACAATTGATTCATACGATGATCCGGATGAATAGTTACGATAAGAATACTCAATTAGCCATTTTTTCTTGGATTGATAAATTGACCGACAAATTTCTGGCAATAGAACATACACCTGTTGATTAATTTTATTATTATTATTTTTTTTAAACAAATCTTTTCTCACGTACAGTATTATTATGATCAAATTGAAAAATTAAAGAAAAAAAAATTTATTTCGATGAATTTGACCAGATGATTAAAATTATTATGATAATTTATATGAGTATGATGATGACGGTAGTCAAGGATGTTTATGATTTTCCATTTGTTGTCGACAATTGCTATTGATTAAACAATCATTAAATTTGTAATAATCAATAATATTTATTTAAAATTACTCACTTTCGATTCAGAATCGATTCCTATTACATTTGTTGCATTATTATCATTACCAGTTTTTAATGAAGCATATGATACATGTTGTTTTTCGCCTATATTTACAGGTTTCTTAAAAACACGTGAAATCATAAACTTTATTGCTAAAATTGCCACGATAATAATCAGAATCGCTAAGAAGAAAATCATATAACGATCATTAACTTCAATAGTATAACAAAAGTGATCAGCATTAAATAACTCGGTCATAACACTATAAGGTCCTTCACATGGCTGACAAAAGCATAATATTTTTTTTTTTTTTGTTGATTAAAGTTTTATTTATCATTAATAAAGAAATACTTACAGCATCACCAAGCACCGAGCATGCCAGATATTGTTGACGATAAAATAATAATACATAAGTATTATCATATTGAATCTCATTATTAGGTGATGACATATCAACCGAATCTGGATCGATCATTGCTTTTGGAAATACTTGATCGATTTCTTTGTGTAATACTTCTATCCATTTATCCTTTACACATCGTATGGTTGTGAAATATTTACCTGAAACATGAATATTATTTAATTAACCATTTTACCCATAGAGAATGATTTACGTACCTTGAAAAATGATGGTCATATTATTGAAATAAGTCATACCATTAATATTTTTAGTAAAATCCACAGATTTTGCCGCTTTTAATAAATCAAAATCAAGTAAATTTTGTGAACTGTAAACATAATTATTCTCGTGAACAGTGATCAATGGTCCATTATTATTGGGTAACTAATGTTAATGCAATACAATCAAAGATGCTTGATATTGTACAAAAATATAATTAAAGATATAACTTACTGTTGAATAAATTAACAACTGATTAGTTGGAACACATCGACCATTTTCTACTTTCATTTCAATGTTGACAGCGGCATCAATACGAAATTGATTATTTTCAGCCAAATCAATTTCTGATCGATTTGAATCAATAATTTTTAATGTTTGAAGTATTGTCTCTAAAGATGGCCGCCAAATTGGAGCAATCAAATCAATAATAGGCCGTTTAGTTTGAAGTGTTGGCAGTTCTTTTCGATTAATATTCAACAACCAATAATCATTATCGATCACAATTAAACGTGAACCATTATTCAAAAATGTAATAGCATCTATTTCATTCACTTCAAATTCCATACATCTTGATGGATCATTTGATTCTTGATTGTTACTGAATGGATGAGCATCACATTTCATTATCTTCAATATTATTAATATCATCCATAAAATGGATGATATTTTCGATTTAATACTCATTATGCAAGGTATTTATAAAACAAAATTGATTGTAAATGAAAAAAGAATGACACCAATTGAATTATTATTGTGTGATGTTTTTCAATATTTTGGTTCAAAGAAAATATTTCAAATAAAAATAATAATGCAAAGTCTGCAAAAGTTATGTTAAAAAGATAATGTTTTTGAGGATTGTATTGTCACATCAGACCATTTTTATCAAATAAATAACCATTCTAATAATAGTAAAAAAAATACACAAAAAATAGACATTGAAAATTAAATAGCAGAATTACTTCAAGATAATATAAAAATCAGACGAAGGATAAAAGATTTTATTCAAAAAAAAAATGAAACAATTTTCTTAGCCGCGCCTTGCCGCTAAACAATTATTGAAAAATGAATATAATCGATTTTCGTGTTTTTAGCTTTTTAACTTGTTGAAAATACAGAAACCACTTACACACATAATACCACCACCACCACCACCATCAATAACCACAAGATCACCATGACAGGTTGATTTCTATCAATAATTGTAGGTAACAACATTAAAACAGACATACACATACATACATACACACACAAATACGTACATAGCATTGTAAAGTATTACAGGTAAATATCCATTACATATCTAAATAATCTATAAATAATATTTGACAAACAAACAAATATAAATGAATATAGAGAACCTAAAGAGAATCATCAACATCATATAATAATGATTATAACTATGGGTTTTCAATTCATTCTGATAGAATTATTCAATTAAAAGAAGAAAAAAAACTTTCAATAGCTTCATTTGGAAGCATGAAAAACTTGAATTCAAGGTCGATTAGTTATTGGACAACTTTTTTTTTATTCGTTTTTTTCTGTTTTTGCTTCGGCCATTTTTTTCGGATGAAAATATTGATGCTATGGATGAACAATTTTTACTATTATAAGCATTTGCAATGAACCGAACAAAAAAAAACACGGACACCAAAATGAACAAAAGAAAATCGAACGAGATCAAATTCCAAACCATCAAGGTCTTATGTTTTTTAGTGGTTATGTTGTGACCATTATTTATCGATATACAGTATGATTGTAGAAACTTTTCTTTTGGAAGTTCAAAGTTCAAGGTGATTGTCTATCTGATTAGGATTTTATTTTTAAAAAATTCCTATACATGTAATGTTATCTTAGTTTTTGAATGGAAATTTTTTGAAAGATTTTTGATTATTTTTCATATTGGAAAACTTTTTTTTTTTTTTTTGATTATCAACAAACTTATCAATTAATTAACATGTATGAATCATGCATCGTTTGTGTTCTAGCTCAATGCATGAGTCATTGAAAAAATATTCAATACCTGTAAAATTAGTATATAAAGGCTGAAAATTAAACGTAAATTGTAAACGTTTTTTTTCATTTGCCAATAATTTCCAATAATTTTGATTTGTTCATTAAAAAAAAGAAGAATAGTTGAATTAAGAAGCAAAAGATGGCACTATCAATTCTAACCTGAGTTATTTCACATAGATTTTAGCCGTATTTTGTTTTGGGATATATATCCATGACCAGCTTTTTTTTTTACAATCGTAATGGAAATCGTTAGATACAAAATAACAAATGAATGTGTCGCTATACGTTGCGAGATGTGTGTGTGTGTGTGTGTCTATGTTTACAAATTACTCAGTAAACTTTTAAACATTTGATAATAACAAATAATCAAATAATTGGGAAATAACAAATAATCCGGTCTATTAAAATATCATTATCTTAAAGCATTTGATATTTATGGAAAACTTCTTGACATTGTTTTATCATTAATGAACAGATTTTCATTATTTTTGTTTGATTTATGAAATTTTATACGTTTTGATAAGATTTTTTGAATTTTTGCATCTACTACGCATTTGATTTGATTGGATTGTATTAAATGACAATTTCATTTTTACATATTGCTTCCGTCAGAAAAAAACAATACACAAAATGACGACAACACTTTCGGATGAAGAATTTTGTCGATTAAATGTTAGGTTTTATTCGTTCTTATTAATGTCATTAATTTTTTTTTGTTTTATTAAAAATTTAGGAACAATTATGTGAATTAAAAAATCAAAATTATCAATGTGATGTAAGTCTACGAAAATCGTTACAAGAGAATCAAACATTACGAGCAGAAATTGATCAACTTCGAAGACAATCGACCACAACAACGACAACATCATCAACAAATGAATCGACTGAAAAATTGAAAAAATTGAATCCATTTACATTTGCCAAAAATGTTGCCGCTAAAGTTGATCAACGTTTACATCAATTTTCATTATCATCAACAAATGATATTCATCATGATGATAATCAATCAAATCAATCTTTTAATGCAAAAATGATTGAACAAAATTATCAGATAAAAATAAATGAATTGGAAAATAAAATTCAGCAATTAGAATTGAAAAATTCTGAACTCTCAAATTTCGATACAAATTCGAGTAAATGTGCATCAATAATCAAAGAATGTATAGAACGTTATGTACAAAAATCGCTTCAACGTCAATCACATACTGATATTTCTACAACAGATTCATTCTGGATTGAATCAGATTACCAAACACTTGTTAATGGACAATTCGAACAGAAACTAATTGATTCAATTACAAATTTAGATGATTTTAAGCTTATAATTGAAAAATTTATTCAATATTTTGAACAAAAAGAGGCCATATTCGAAAATATTTTTGATAAAATTAATAAAAAACAACAAGAATCAACTAATGTGATACAATCAAATGATGACTGTAATGAGCTAAATGATAATCAGCTAAAAGAATGTATTGAAAAATATGAAAAGTTAATAGAAGAACGTGATTCGAATATTGAAAAATTGAATCAACAATGTCAAATGTTGGAAAAACAATCATCTGAAGTCAAAATGATTAATAATGATTTTGAAAAACAGATAAAAACGCTTGAAAATCGTATTGTTGAATGTGAAGAGGATAAAAAAATTAATGAGAAAAGAAGCCTTAAATATCTTAAAGAATTGAGAAAATTGGTTAATAGTGAAAAAAATCGTGCAGATAAATTGCAAAATATTTTGAATCAAGAAACAATCAACACGAATGCTGGTCAAAACAATAATAAAATAACGACAACAAATGAATGGGCCATTAATAATAGTGGTACGGCTAATAGCGATCGTTGTAGCAGTACCGGATCATGGACTTACATGAATGATCAATCATCATCATCATCGGCAATTGTTCCTAGTAAAATTGATCCAGAATTTTCTGATCTTGAAATTTGTGATATAAACAATAAAAATATGGATGATATTCAACAAAATCAATCTACTAAACAACAATCATTATCAACGTCAAAAAATCGAAAATCATCAAACGGCATGTCCAAAGAACGATATTTAGAATCGGAGAATAATAAATTATTAGAAGCAATTGTTACCTTACATCAAGAAAAATGGTCATTAGAAGAGCGTGTTAATATTTTGGAACATGAACTTCAACAATGTCTTCAGAATTTAACCAATGGTGATAATGGTGGTAATACTAATGAAATACCCATACAGCAACAAAAATCATCACCAACTTCATCGATTAATTCAATATTAAAAATGATCAACTATATAAGGGATAAAAGTTCGGATACACAGAATTCTAGACAACAGATCAATGATGCACATCGAAAATTACAACGTATGGTTGAAGAAATTTTAACTAAAAATATGCATCTGCAAGCTAATCTAGAGGATATGAGTCGTGAATTAGAATTTACCAAAGATCGTCTTCGTCGCTATGAAGAACCAACAACATCATCAAAATCATGAAAATAAGAACAATAATTTAAAGAATTATTTGCCTTTTGTCGACATATATGTGTTGCATTTTATATATTTTTATTATTACACATTATTATTCAAATAATATTAATATTATTTCATATCCAACATTTTATAATTCAAAATAATATAATTTTGCCATTTAATATATGTGTTTTTGTTAAAATTTTAAACAAATATTTCGCTTTAAATATTTTGATTATCCATTTCATTATAAATCTGATATTATTTAGTGCAATTCTAAATGGACCGCTTGACCGAATGCATTTTGAAGAAAATAAAAATATTGAAAATGATAATTTAAGATAGAAAACTGAAAAAGAGAAAATAAAATGAAAATTTGTCCAGCGATCAATTTGGAACAAATATTATTTGATGTATTTTTCTGTATATAAAGATCAACCAGATGTTGGATAACGTGTACGAAGATTTGCACCGTAACTAAAACCACCAGGACCACGTGGATTGAATGGCGGCATCATCGGAGGTGGTGGTACCATACCACCCATTCCTGGATTCGATTGTGGTGGACCCATTTGTGGTGGTTGCATCTGTTTGGATGGATCAACACCCATCTGCGGTGGTGGTTGATTTCCTGGAGGTGATTGCAATTGTGGCATTGGTGGATGACCACCATGCATGCCCATAGGTGTCGATGAGGGTGGCATTTTGTTAGACGCATCATTTGACATAGGTGGTGGCTGATTGAATGGACCACTAGGTGGTCCATGATGACCGGGTGTCATTGTTGGTCCTGGTCGCATCATGTGATGTGGCTGTGAAGTTGGCGGCGGTGGTCCGCCATAAGACATGAAAGATGGTGGAGGTCCACTAGGAGGCTGAGAAGAACCTGATGAAGTAAACGATGATGGTGGACCAGACATTTGTGGTGGACCAGACATTTGCGGTGGACCAGACATTTGCGGTGGACCAGACATTTGTGGTGGACCAGACATTTGTGGTGGACCAGACATTGGTGGCGGACCGGACATTTGTGGTGGACCAGACATTTGTGGTGGACCAGCATAAGATGTGGGAATCGATCCAGGCATCATCGGCTGTCGATGATAAGAAGGCGCGTTTGAATCAGGATTGTATGATGATCCAGTAGATGAAGTTGGAGGAGGTGGAACTTGACCTTGCTGTCTAGATGTCTCAAAATAAGGTTGTGGATTATTACTAGTTGAAAACTCAGACGATTGGGATTGATTCTGAAAAGGGGGTTGTTGTTGTTGATATTGATTAGTCGCAGGCGGACGAACAGGAGGAGCTGGATAAGCTTGTTGCAAAACAGGTTGCTGGGCAACTTTATGAAATTAGAAACGATAAAAAAAATATTAATTTGAAACAAAATATCAAGTTATTCAAATGGATGCATACTTGGCGAGAATCCTTGCTTGTTAGAATTATCCGATTGTTCATTGCTTGCAGCATTTTTTGCCCCTGCTGATGATTGCTGTTGTTGTTGATGCTGCTGTTGCGAAGTCGGTTCAGATTTTGTACTAGCACCGGAAGCATCAGGAGTGTTCAATGGATCCAATTCCTTTGGAGGTTGACCATAGATTTTTGGTTGCTCCTGTTGTGGCTTTTCATGTCGATCAGTTTGTGTATGAACTTCATTAGTGTCCAATGAAGCGGAATCATTCAAATCATTGTTAGATTTTTTATCTCCACTCAAATGCATCTTTTCCAACAATTGATTGCATCGATTACGGATTTCAATCAATTCATGACAAATCTCTTTGAAGTTATTCGCTGATGAACGACCAGTACCAGGTGTTATCATTTCATTAACGAACACTTTCAATTTCAATATACGGCTGTATTGGATGGCAAATGAAAGATCATTATCATCAATAATCGAGATAAGATCATTGTCATCATCACGATATTTTAGATGAATTTCATCGGTCGGTTGAAGCTTGAACAAACGTTGCATCATCAAGATTAGTTCATCATAGGTAATCTCATCGCCAATGATCGGTATACGTCGGATATCATCCCCATATTGAGCTTTTATGATAATTTTGCCATTTAGATCTAATTGGGAAAAATCAGTGTCATTGACAGCTGTGAATGACGACGTTGAATTACTTGATGCCATTTTTGCGTTATAACGATGATGTTTTTAGTCTGTGATTTTGTTTTGTTTTTCGCAATTATAATCGGTCAATCCTTTTATCGATTACGAGCAAATAACAGGAGCCCAGCTGGAATGGCTTAATCCAAATCTACTAAACAATAAATTTTTATAAATTAAAAATGAATTTTAAAAAAATTGATAAAAATTTGCCGGCCGGCATTTTACCTGATTAATTGAAAACAAACGAAGTTTCGTGGAAAATACCTACAATCGATCAATTCAATTCAACCAATTAATTCTTCCAGATACTAATTATCTTTGTGTCCAGGTAGATTTCAATTTCCCTTTTCTTACATCAAAAAACAAAAATCGAAATTAATAAATAATGGAATAGAAATTCGTAGAAACAAAACGTATATAAACACACAACAGGCATAAAATGATACGGTGATGAGTCGACGTGTCTTTTTCGATCATATTTCAACAATGAAACAATATTTTTTTTTTTTTTAGTACAGCCATCTAATGGTTATATCGAGAAACAGTTTTTATTTAAAAAAAAAGTTTTTTCAGTATCAGAGAAATTTTTCAGAAAAAAAAAGATTTTTTTTCGGTCATCAAGATTCAAAATTTTATTCATTTTATATCATTTTTATAATCATTGATTGATTAATCAATTACAAAAAAAAAGATCTATACATGGCACACAATTATCGACACAACAAACAAACAAAAATACCTAATTTTGAAACAAGACAAAATAAAAAGAAAAAAAATTGCACTAAGTGATGGAACAAAGAAAAAAAATGATAATTTTTATGAGTATTTTGAGATTTAAAAAAATATGAATAAAATGCTAAAAAAATGTTTGTTTAAATAATTTGACATTCGACAATGTTGATGATAGGTTATTGTTGGCTGATGTTGTTGTTGTTGCAATCGTTGGCATTGTTCTTGAATCCGTAGCTGCAACTGCCGATGTTGTTGTTGTTGACGATGAATTTTCATTGATTAAATGATCAACAATATGATGATTTGATCCACGAATCGTATTGGGTGTAGTTAATCCGAATGGAAATGAACCGATTATTGGAAATAATGGACTAGAAGAAGCAGCAGCAGCGGCTGCGGCTGCAGCTGCAGCAACAGCCGCTAAATTCGATGCCAAAAATTTTTGATGAGGATGATGATGATGATTATGAAGATTTGTTTGCTGTGTATTAGTTTGAAATGATAGACCATTGAATTGATGATGATGATGTAAAAGATTTGTAGATGTCGATGCAGGAGGCATTAAATGAGATGGTGATGATGATGATGATGAAGAAACCGGAAGAACTGGTGGATGAGCATAACCGGTCGGATGATTAATTAATGAAGCTGCGGCAGATAAAAATGGTGTTGCCGAAAATTTTACCTGTTGTTGTTGCTGATGATGATGAGAAGAAGGAGGAGGTGGTGGGGGAAGATTATTATTATTACCATGCGTTTGTTGTTGTTGTTGTTGTTGATGATGTTGAAAAATTTGCTGAGCAGCTGTTGTATAGAATGATTGTAAAGCATTCATTTCTTCTAAACTTGCTTTGATTGGTTTGGATGTTCGTAAATGTTCATAATTAGTCATAATTAATTTATTATCCTCTATGGTCGTATCAAAATTCGTATGAACATCTTGTCGTTTAAATCGATTCGTTATTTTTATTGATGATTCTTGTTTATTAATATTATTATTATTAAAATTTTTATGTCGATTTCGATAAGTTGTTGAATTTTTAATCATCATTTTTGGTGATATAATTTTTCCTGTAGTTTTTTCTTTCGATAATGTTTTTTCATCAATAGATTTTTCATTTCTTTTTGATTCATTTGTTTTAATTGATGAATGTATTTCATTCGAATCAATTTTATCTTCATGTAATTTTCGGATATGTTTTTTGAGATCAAAATTACGACAAAATCCTTTACCACATGTTTGACATTGAAATGGTTTTTTCTCATTATGTGTATGCTATATTTTTTTAGGTTAATTAAACAAAAACAATTGCAAAAAAGTAGAAAATTTTAAATGATTGTTTCCACACAAAAAAAATCACTAATAATCATCATTCAACTTACCAAATGAAATGTTAGATTATATATTTGATGAAATGCTTTACCACAAATGTCACATTTGAATGCTTTTTCATTATTATGTGTTAGTTTATGATTTTTATAGTTACCCTTTTGATGAAAACCTTTGCCACAGAATTCACATTTATATGGTTTATAACCGGCATGTATACGTACATGTGTATTTAATGTTGAGCTACGATTAAATGCTTTTCCACAATATTGACATTTATGTGGCTTTTCAGCCGTATGAATTATTTTATGTCGACATAATGTACTTGCTTGACGAAATCCTTTTCCACAAACTTTACAAACAAATGGTCGTGCACCGGTATGCACCGGCATATGTCTTGTTAGATTATAATGAGCATTAAAAACTTTACCACATTCCGTACAGGTGAATGTTTTGGCACTATTTGTTGATAATGATGATACTGTTGTTGTTGTTGACGATGTTGTTGTTGTTGTTGCTTTTGTTGTTGATGTTGCTATTATTGATGAAGATGATGATGAAGACGATGATGATAATGATGATGATGATGATAATGTGGAATTTGTTTGATATAATTGTTGTGAATGATTAAGATTAATTCGATTTTTTTCCAATGTTGATGATTTTTGATTTTTTGATTGATGATAATGATTATGATGATGATGATGATGATGATTAACTATTTGTTCAATGGAAAATCTACCTTTTGATTCATTTTTATCTACATTTCGACGATTGAATAAATGAATCGATGATGATGATGATGATTTATTGGACGATGGTGATTGTTCTGTCATTGTTATATCATTTGTTCTGCGATCATTATTACTTATATTTGAATACATTCGATACATCATTAATAAATCATTATTTGTTTCATTATTTGATCGATTATTTTCATTTTTTAATTTTGATTCAATTTTCGTTTCTGTTATTGTTCTATTCATATTTTTATTATTGATTAAATTCTCAATAGAAAATGTCAATCTATTCGAATGATGATTGCAATTTTTATTTTTATTATCCATATCGATAGTAGTTGTTCCGACAACATCAACATCGTCATCATCTTCATCATCATCATTATGATTATCGTTGCCATCGTCATCATGATCATATTTATCATTAAGATTATCACATGCTATGATTGATTCACATTCCTGTTGAAAATTTTCATCATCATCCTCTTCATTTTCATCAATATTTTCACATTCATCATATTCATCATCTTCTTCTTCCTCTTCAACAACGACAACATCTTCATCTTCTTCTTCTTCATCATCATCATCTTCTTGTTCACTACAATCAATAAAATCATCATGTATCAATGATGTTGATGAAATATTATCATCAACACTATTATTATCATCTTGATCATAATCATTATCCGGTAATTGATTGACCGACATTTTCAACTTTATTTGTTTTTGTTGCTAAAAAAAATTGAATCAAAAAAAAAAATTACCATTATCATAATAAACCGACAACAAATGTAACAAATTAATATAATTATATCATTTTATTTTCAAGTACTTAACCACTTTTAAATCAATTTAACTAATTTATTTCAATACCTTTTTTTTCCAAAATTTCATATACACCCACACACACACACACACACACACTTTTAGTATTAATAAAAAAAATAACTGTTATCGATCTCTCTCTCTCTCTCTCTCTCAATAAACATATTTAATGATCTTCAAATATTTCAAGTACAGTTACATGTTTGAAAGATTTTTGTTCTGTTGTTGTTGTTGTTGAAGAGAGTAATTTGTTTATTCATTTATTCACTCAAATATATATTATTCATTTGTTGAAGGACTTATCCATATCGTCACACTTTAGTACAATGGTCATTGTCATCATTTTTATTCGTTTGAAAAAAAGGGAGAGAGAGAGAGAAAAAACTGGGTCCTGGTATTTCGATTTCGATACATGATACATAAATCTAATTCATAATTCATAATAATAATCATGTTTGTATACATTCATTACTGTCCAAACAAACATGATTCAAAAAATGGAAAAAAAACCAACAAACTAAAAAATACCGACCATCCCAAACTACCCTTCAGAGAAATAAACCGACAAATATAGTGTGTGTGTGTGTGTGTGTAGAAATGACACAATGGAAACAAAAATTATTCAATTCAATTTTGCTCTGAAAAAAATTTCAGTATTTTTTTTTCTTTCATTGATTTTCATTTGTCATCACTATGTGATTCTACGAATGAATCAAAAAAAAAAAAAATGAATCAAGCTCCAGGTTGTTTGTGTGTACGATTTATGATAAACTAATATATTATGCTATAACGCTTATGGGAGAGGTTTAGCATTCTTTGATTCGATTTTTTTTTTGTTTTGTTTTGCTCTATATTATTATTGTCATAAAGTTTTTTTGGACCTTTGTTGTTGTTGCTTTTGTCTGGATTTGGTTTTGGTTTTGTTTGACAATGTTTGTCATTCGTTCATTTGTTTGTTTGTTTGTTTGTTTATTTGTTGTTAGTTATGACATTATTTGTATTTTTGTATTTCTGATTATTATAATTTTTTCCATCTCTTCAATATATAAATAATTTATTCATTTTTTTTCAATTTATTATTTACATTTTTTACGGATTTTTTATATTTTCTTCGGTTTATTCTTTTTTTTTTGATGTTCAAACATGATGAGATGTCATTTATTGAAATTTTTTTTGTAAATGAATGGATTGAATGATGATGATATTTCGATAATGAATCTATCAATCAATCAATAAGATTTCTTTCTTTCTTTTTTTGAAATTTTCATTTTTCAATTGACAAAAATAATTTGTTTATTGATTGTACCTTTTTTTTCTCTCTCTATTTTTTAATATCGACCCATAACTAATAGAATGCGAAAAAAATCAAATCAAATCAATAAATTTTTCTTCAAACTAACTTGTTTTTCTGTCCATTTTTTTTCAAAAGAAATTGAATGTATGCTTGCCTGCCTTGTTATACTTTTATTTGGTTTTAGTTTTTTTTTCTTCTATTGGTTGTTATAATCTATTCTTATCCATTGCATTTAATAGCAAAAAAAAGCGGACAATGTTGGATTTTGTTTGGACCATTGCTTCAATTATGTTATTAGTATTTTGTTATTGTTGTTGTCGTTGTCCTTTCTTGTTTCAGGTTCGCTCTCTTTCTCTCTCCCTTTTAAGCCCAGTTGTGATCGTTTCGGTTTTTTTTGTTGTTGTTGTTGTAATGTCTCTTGTATATATGTTTTGTATACATGTTGAGTTCATGTAAATCTTCATTGTTTCATTGAATATTTTTATTAGTAAACATTAGGATTTATGAAATGAGTGTTGTAGGACAACCAAAATAAAAAAAAAGAAATTTTTCTCATTTTCAATAATTCGGTTCAAATAAAAAAAAAGAGAAATGGTCCATTTCTATGTAAATGTATGGTATGTACAGTTTGAATGGATCAACTTTTTTTTTTAAATATATAAATTTTTCTTTTCATTACATTTCATTCAATTCATCTCGATTTTTTATTTTCTCCTCTGTTGATCAAAAATTTAAATAATAACCGCAACAACACCCAAAAGAAACAACAACAACAACAACAACAACAACAAAAAGAAAATGACGATAGAAACGGTCTACCGACGACTAGATTATTACCATTGTTATTAGACATTATTATTATTATCATTGTTGTTGTTGTTGTTGTTGTTATTTAGTATTTTTATGTTGTCAACATCTTGTCAACAACATTAAAAAGTTTATCGGATTTTTTTTCCTCCCCTCTTAACAATTGATTCAAAATAAAATTTGCTTGGTTCCGTTCGTTCAATTTCATATAAATTACGATTAAAGTTTGTTTGTTAGTTGGTTATTTTGGTTGGATATAAATAATAATAATAATAATAATAATAAAAACAAACCACAAGTGCTATGTAAAACACACCTAAAGCCGATTATCATAGTAGTAGTCCATTAGTCGATATTTAGCCTGGATGTATCAAATGTTTTTTATTTTCATCTAGGTTAAACTATTCAGCTATTTTTTTTTCTACTTTTATTCGGCGGTTCAAGCCGATAATGATGAATGAACAACAACAACAAAAAAAATCTCAGAAAATTTAAAAAAAAAAATCTCAGATCCGATTGCAAATGTATATATTTCAATTGTCACCATCACCACCATCATCATCTTAATCCGATTGTTAATATGATCGTTTAGTTTTGTTTTGTTATTTGTGTTATTGAATTGCTAGATAACATATTGTAAATCAAAGAAACGAACATTAAAAAAAACCATGTGAATAAATGAATGAATTATATAGATATGGATAATCATTTTGGATAAATTCATTTTTTTCCATTGTACTTTTCATTTTAATGATTGAAATGTCTTGTATATCATTATCATCATCACACCCACTAATACAGAAAAATGATATCTTAATTAATGATATTTTATTAATAAGCTATATTCATAATATGTGCTTCTTGATTACACACAAAACAAAACAATTGTTGTGATTGATATCATCTTTCATTTGAATGCGTGAATTATAAGTGTATATATGACACATATAGAACAGTTATCAAACGATTTGTATTTTGATCATTTCAATTTTTCAATGAACAAAATAGAGAATGTAAGAAAGAGAAAGTTGTCGCCAGCAAATGAAATGAATAGATATTATCTTTTTTTTTTTGTAACCAAAGACGACCGACAAAACATTGGTTGTTGTTGTTTAAAAGAATAGAAAAAACAATTTAATCTTGATCGAAAGATCTTTTTTTTCCATCATCATCATCATGATCGTTGACTTGAAATGTACAATCAATCAATGGATGAATGAATGAATGTTTGATTGATTTGATCAGGGAAATAAATCTAAAACTATTTTTATGATTATTACGGAAATCATTTTTGAAAAGATCAGATTTCAAGATATATTTTTTGTTGTTGTTGTTACAATGAAAATAAAGTCATTTCGGCTAGTGTGGTCGGTTTAAAAATAAAAGGTTCAATATTGAATTTCTTTTTTTTCTTTTTCTTACTTTCTCGAATTTCTCTTATCTCATATTTTGTTTTTGTAGTTGTTGTTGATCATTTTTTTTTGTTTGTTTGTTTGTCTTCAAACAATCAAATTTTTGTATTGAATTTCGATCAAACGATTGATCAAATCGAGAATACTGATCAATTTCGATCGATAACAAATTAACAAAACATTATTAAATAATGAATCAATGATTATATTAGTCAATTGAAATTTTTAGAAAAAAAGATTGAAAGTTTTATTAGTTTTTTACTTACTTTTTGTTGTTGTAGATGAGATTAAATCAAAGTGATAAAATATTTTGAATTATCAATGGATATATGATGACAATTGATGATCGATGATGATAATTCAATTAATCGATAATCGATTAATTGATTAATTTTACAAAGAGAAAATCACGTTCACAATAACAACAACAACAAAACGTGAAAACTTTTAAATCACTTTTATTTAAAAAGATAAAGTTTTTTGTTTATTCGATTTATGATGACAAGTAATTAATGGAATGAAAACTAAATTGTTGAAATTATTAATTATAATGAAAAAAAATGAATCAAAAACCTATTGAATTGATGAATTTCATTTATATAGACATTTGTTCGAAAATCGTAAAACAAAACAGCACACAAAATTCTACATACAAATATTTTTTCGTTGCTCTATTGCAGCATTGAAAATTGATGATAATCAACATCGAATCAAATGAAATCATCGAATGAAAACAAAACAAAAAATATATTGAAATAAATCAGTGTTTGTGGTCAGAAATGAATGTTGAAATAAAAATGTTTGAAACATGCATTTACAATGTTCTGGTTATTATTTTGTTTGGGTTGGTTTTTTTTTCATTTGGATTCGGATTAGCTTTTTTTTCCTAGTTATGTTTATTGGTAAAGTGTTTGTCGATCGATACAAAACAAAACAAAATCTGAAAAAAAATGAAATGCAAAAAAACCAAATGGAACCTTATGCTGCTGTTCTCATTTTTGTTGTTGTTGTTGCTTGATTTAGTTTGA